ATCCCTGGCGGCATATCACGCGTATGTAGCATCTCTGCTTAAATATGGACTTCTGATTTGGGGAAATTCAACCGACTTAGTTTTATTGTTTAGAGCACAAAAAAAATGTGTAAGGGCTATTTGTGGCAAATCACCTCGTCAGTCTTGTAAGCCATTATTTCAGCAATTCAAAATATTACCTCTTCCGTGCATGTACATATTGGAAGTTGCATGTTTCGTAAAAAATAATGGTAATCTGTTTAGAAAACGACTTGAAGTCAATAATCGAAACCTAAGACATGCAGAAAAACTAGTCTTTAATAGTGCACCTAAACTGACATTCTATATGAAACAATGTAATGCTATGTGTGTAAAAATTTTCAATGCCATACCTGATGACTTAAAGATATTACCGAATNGCCACATGACGCGTTGAGCTTTAGGCTGGGTTGCACCATCTTAAAATCTACTTTAACAAACGTCAAAAATCTGTCAAATCTCATACAAAACACAGTTAGGTGGTGCTGTACCGTCCGGTACGTGTTAATAACTGTGCATTGAAGTCCAATCCAATTTCATAAGGTTCACTTAGTGACAAATAGTATTCATCATGATCATCATCTCGATACGCCATTATGACCCCGTACGGCGTGCTACGAAAACGGATTCGTAGAGCAATCACCTACGAGACTACGACAGAGGACTACGAAATATCGACATAGGTTACGCTACGTTATACGCTACGACTGGCAGAAACCCCAACAATTTCTTAAAATATATTTTATTTATTGCCTTAACCATAAATTTAAAAAATCTAACATTATTGTTCATACAAAGATTCTACGGTATGCTATTTTAACGAGTATACATAAAAAAGGTATAATGACTTGACTCTGTGTGTCATTACGAGCTTTGCTCATGCTCAACATGCTTTAATTACCCCCGGCGGGATTTGATCCCCTAATCGCAGTGTTGATGTGCTCCAGTTCGTGTATCATGAGGGCAGGCGGAAGTCAAGCGTATGTAGTCAATCATGATATGTTTGAAGTAGGTAAATATTGAATTAGTGTGTATTCCCGTAGTATCAATTGCAAGGCCTCGAGCTGTTATTATGTAAATGCGGCGATCGGTTAGCAGCCATCGCTGTGTGCTCAGCCGGGAGCGGCGTGATTGATGGCCCAAAAATGATTGTGTCACGCGCAATGTACTGAAGTAGAGTAGGCCTATTTAGGGAACCGTTTTATTAACCTAACCTAACTCTCTGATCTGCTGGATCGCGGACTGCAACGCAAGCTGCGGCTGCGGGTTCGAATCCCACTGGAGGCAAATGTTAGTGTGATCAGCACAAATTTGATTGTATAACTAGAGTAGAGTAACTAGATTTTGTTGTAATTTAATCATATGTTATACTAGCGGCAGCCCGCGACTTCGTACGCGAGGATCCCGTTTTACCCCCTTAGGGGTGGAGTTTCGTAAAATCCTTTCTTAGCGGATGCCTTCTTCATAACATCTACCTGCCAAATTTCAGCCAGATCCGTCCAGTGGTTTGGGCTTTGCATTGATACTTAGCGGCCGCCCGCGAATTCGTACTCGTCATAAATTATGATATATGAAAAAAACAGTGAACTACAACAGATGAAAATGTTTTATGAATACTTTTTTTTAACACAACCTTGAAAAGTGACGAATTATACTGAATATACAGACTCGAAAAATTTTTCATGAATATTTAGAATATTTCAGGGGGCCACTTGCGCCTGAACGACCTTGTATATGTTGGATAAATAAATAAACCGATTGTCTTCTAAACCTGCCTGTGTTATGTTCGAACGGAGCACATGTCTGTCAAACAATAACAAGGAAAAAAGCACCACAAGAACGCAGGGGGGAGCGAAGTGCGCCGCGGATGTCGATGGGACTCGACTACGGGCTTGACACATGTTTGTTTTGTTATTGTATCTGTTTGCCGAAAAACTTAAGCGCGGAGGCTGCCTCGTCTAACGCTTTTCCATTTTCATTTCACTTTGAAAGAGTTATTATTTACTGAAAATACTCCTAGGTACTTTACATAAGGTCTCATATAGGCTATTTTTTATTCAAGATTTCAATCAACATCGAAATGGTTATTTATATAAGTGTTGCTATGTCCTCCTCTTATTGACATAATTATGTGCTACACAAATATGGTGCTCATCAGACGTTACCAGGAAGTGGAACAAGAAAGTATTTAACATTAAAATCGCATTAGCGGCTTAATAAATAAAGCCGCATTCGCACGCGACATGAAACATACTCGTATCTGGCCGCGCGACACGTCACTTCCGGTGCTGTCCCGCGACACCTGGCGGGGATTATTCTGGAAGCGATAGAGTTGGTATGTTAGGTCAACTGCAGACCTCTAAGTTATCGCTATTGGGGTGGAAAGATGTCATTACTTTAAATGAAAACAAATCATAACGTTCAGTCAAATACAATAATTATATCGAAGTGTTAATTGCGGGTTGATCCAAAATTGTAACTGCCACGAATGGTTATGTTTTCAAACAAATCAAAATGTTTTGCTAATCTTACAAATCAATGCAATTATTTTTATCATTCTATTTTCCATTAGGTTAGGGTATTTAAGTGACATTATGATGACACGCTTTACCATAAATCATTGTAGTATAATTGTATGTTACCTTTTGAGTGATTTGAGAATAGCTGCGATGTTAATCTGACATCGGCTGGGCCCTCGCACTGCGCTCCTGAAATAATCGTCGGCGTCGGCGGTAATCCCGTCGGATTACGAGTCCCCGCGCGGCGCCGCCGACGTCTGCCCTCGGCGTTGGCTTGGTGGTTGCACCTGAATATTTTATATTATAATGGAAAGTATTTTCTTTTACCTGTGAAAAATCCATACATAGCTGCGTAAATAATAACTATAAGTAATACCTGCTCTTTTTCTTAAAAAAATCTTATGACACCTATCTATTAGTAATCCCGTTAGTCTGTAAAACAAAACAAATTATTTATAACATAATTCGGTCTAGGCAAAATCTTTTTAAAGACTACTATGAAAAATATGTAAAACGGATCCTTCTATTTCCATTTGTTCGGTCTCTCAACTCATAAAATGCGTTAATTTATCAACTGACAAACCGCAAACGTAGACACTTATTACAGCCACGGCTCTGTGTGTAAATTTGTTGGCCTGTATACTTAGAAAGAAACGGTCATTTTCTATTTGATTTCACTGACTACTTTTTGATTGTCAATCCGCAATGAAGAACAAACCAACGAAGAAGCTAATTTCCACAAATGTCTACGTTTGCGCGGCGCCTTAAACGCAAGTGGCTAGCCAAAACAAACTCCCCCCTCCCCTTGAATGTTCCACGTGTGCAGCGGCCCTTTGTCTAAGTTTGCGAATGAAATTTACACAACATCATAATATTTTAATGCGGCTTTGCATATTTAAAGCTCTCCCAACTTTGTGCTCGGACGTCAACTTGGGCTTTTTGAGGAAAAAATGTTTTAGGAGTTATGAAGTCTAGATAGTTTGTTCAAAGCGTATTTTATAATTTTAATACGCCGTCCATTGTTTTATGAACGTATAAAAATTAGGAAAGTGTCATATTATTGCTTTTCATGATAAAAATAATTTCAGATACAATTTGATAATGTGAAAGATTAGTCCAATTATATTAATGCTTTTGCTTTATACCTACTCAAAACGAAAAAGAGAAATAAAAAAAAAATAAAATAAAAATTCATTTATTTCCAAATATACTTGTACAGAGTTATTACCGAGTCTTCCCGGTAAGTAGTCAGAGACACTTGTATTGGGAATAACTCGCTACTTCCCATTAGGATATCTCTAATTAATTCTAGGAGTATTAGTTCACTAAGTAAGCATTTACTTTGGTATGTAAGAAAATTACAGCAGTATATTGTAATAAGTTATGGTTGATTACTGACTCTCTTTCATTGACATAGAAAGATTTACGCTTAATGATAGTATATTAAAAAAGAAAAGAATAGGATAATGCTCGTTATGTGTGGTTGTGTGTAGGAGCAGTAGGAGTGTGAGTGTGAGTGTGTAAGTGTGAATGTGTAAATGTGAGTGTGNCCATTAGTTTTCCGCAACATGGCGAGGGTTTTTATGTTCCTGGTCAGGCTATAATTCCATAATTCCATAAGTATTTCAATCAACAATTAATAAATAACTAAATAAAACCAATGATGCAACGAATGACTACTAAAATAAATTGTTTCGGAAAGTTACGCAAATGGGAAGAATGTTATTGACGTACCTAGCATGATCATAGAGGAGCGGAGACGTAGCTGCACATTATCCAATCACGGGGACCCTCCGCTGCAATTCAATAATGCGCCCCACGACTGTACGCGGGCTATGAATTCTGAAACAAGTTAAAAAACTAACATTAGGTTGCTACAAAATAAAGTTATTTAAATATTGCGATTTGATACATACCTAATGTTCTAATGAAAGTACCTAGGTAATAAAAAATATTGGAGTACTTATTGTGAATTATTATTCGTTCACCTACTTATCCGGCGGATTAACTCTTTTAAACAACTACTTAAGAAAAAAAAATACTGAACTTAGATTTACTCGAGATCGTAATAAGATGTTGATGATTGAGTGAACAACATCATCACTGGAAAGTAAGCTCGGTAGTTAAGTTACTATCTAATCTACTTAATTACTCCTCCATTGATTAAATTCTCAAGTGGGGCGAGGGCGACCACGGTCTGGAAAACGTATGTAGCGTGGGCAGGCTTACTGCCTGCCTGGAAGCGGGCAGCGCAGGACCGTTCATTGAGGAAAACCTTGGGGGAGGCCTTTGTCCAGCAGTGGACGTCATTTTGGCTGAAACGAACGAACAAAAAATGGCTAAATAATTCCAGTTCAGGACTATCCCGAGTGCACCTAAATCGTGAACACCAGACAAAACAAATAAATAATAGCCCCATGAGCGCTGGGTCTGCAATGATTGCCCCAGTCAGTGCGACAGTGTGCCACCGGGACTGCGAGCCGCTACCATGGGCGAGGTGACGCTGGACTTCCTCCAGGACATATTGAAAGACGACTTTCCTGATGTCACCATTACGAATTTTGAGGTTTGTTCAAAATAGTAGGTACAATAATATTGTGTGTATGTGTGTACCTAATAAACCTATACAGAATATAATTTATCAAAAATAATAGGCACAAGGAACCATTTCTTTCTGTATTAATTTGTTATGCGTTCTATTAAAACTCTTCTATCATAAAGTTCATCAAATTAATTTCATTATTTTAACATTAATTAAAATAAATAATTAAAAAAAATACGCAATTACTTACTCTTTTGTGATTTTTGAATAAAATATTTTGTAAGCTCTGCAAGGTTCCGTTTCACGCATAGTATAGTTCCAAAATACTGGACTGTCCTGTCGATGACATTGACAGTGGGGCGCCACCGTCAATACCGGATCGCTGGTTCAGATTTTTGCCATGTTGGAAACCATATAGTTGAACGATGGTAGCGCCCCCCTGTCATTGAGTTTGGTGGGACAGTTCAGCGTGGGTCATCTATACATCTGCTTTGACATGATAGTTAGTGCTATCTAAATAACAGTAGATGGCGCTGTACAAGGCCATACAAAAAGTTACACCGCGGTGTCCAAGTTTTTTTTCCTGCCAAGACTACCCCGGCCTGAGTTTGACAAAGCATACTTACCTGGCATAGGGGACACCGTGATCATGAAGGCGGTTCCCCCAGGGCGAGGCTGTTCCATTGCACTGCGGAATGGTTGACCCCTGCGATTATCCCTAATGTGGATAACTCGGATGCGTAATTTTTGGTAGTGGGGACTGCGTACGCGCCGTCCCCCTAGAAACTCTTGATTAAAATACGTCTTCAAATCACCTGAATGTCTCCAACTTCCTCATTGGCCCTAGAGCAATTCCAAGTATACCATCAATAAAAGCCTAATTAGAGTCATCAAACCTCTCAGTCATTCAATTAGAGCCATTAGAACTTCATAACTATGAGTTGTTTTCTATGTGTAAGCTGAGGACACGTGTCTCCAGCTGACACATCTGTATCTTCGTAAGTATTTATGCTACGATAATGTATTATACCTCAAAAATTACAGTCGAATCCAAATAGTAGGCTTTCCACTTTTCAAGACTTTAGCTCAAATACTGTTAAAACCACGATCAAAAAACTATGTGCGAGCTGGAGTACCGTGTCTCCAGCTTACACATCTGTATCTTCGTAAATATTTAAGCTACATCAATGTTTTATATCTCATAAATTAAAGTCGAATAAAAAAACCCGACTTCAATTCTTTCAAAGCTTTATTTCGAACCGTTTTCGAACTACGAACCGATACGTATGTGTAAGAGTCCACAAACGCTAGACAAAGTAATAATTACCTTGATAATTTCTTTGATTTTACTAGTGTTTGGATTGCCTGGTGGCATTTTTGTTAGATAAAATTATAACTACTTAATCATTTAAAAATCTTTCTTGTTGTTTTAATATTTCACTATTTGGATAAACACAATATTCTACGAAGTGATGAACAATCTTTTTAAAAATGTAAGAGAAATATTGTCACTTTTTGTTTTAAGGCGTTTTTCGTATTACTTTATTGTGACTTATCTTATGGTTTTGGAGTAAAAGCGTCTTTATGCTAAAAATGACGTTTTTCAACACAGAGTTTACATAACTATCACGGCGTGCCCGTCCAGATCCCGTCACTACTAAAAACGTGTCACTGTTACTCACAACAAATGCCGGTTTTCCCATTAAACTCCATAACGACACTAGTGATATCTGCCGAACTATTTGAGCTTTAAGCGTGGGATTTTTACAGCATGCACTTTTCGCGGAGCGCTGATTGATGGCGTTGTTAACTCAATTTCTCCAAATTTCGTATAGTGACGGTTTGATTATGAACGTGCGATATGTACACTATCAGTTGTTTACATTGCTCTGAGTCATAGAGTAGCATTTGTAGTACGGTATCTTATAAAACTAGCGGCTTAGCTTGAGTAAAATGAAAATAAATACCACACGGCGGCCCTTCCGCACGCACAGTGACGCCAACAAAAGAGCAAATTAAGCCGGTTCACCTGCGCGGTTTTGCCCTACACACACAGTCAACAAAAAAATGACGTCAACATTCAAAATTGTTTGTAGGCAATTTTGTTAATTGTTGACATTTTTTGTTGATTGTGTAGGCCGTAGGGCATTGGATGTATAAAAGCTTCAAAAAAAAATCAAAATCAAAAATATTTATTCAGTTTAGACCACAAGTGGCACTTATGAACGTCAATAGAAAATAATAAAAAAAGAAAAGGTAGCCCTTATAGCTGTAGGGGAAAGGGGAATGCATGCGCTAGAGACCCCGCTTTAGGATTTTTTATTTTTTGAGGTCGCGGCCAGCGAACAAAGCATTTAAGCACCACTGGTATTAAAAATCAAAATTCTATGTGAATTTTTTAGAAAATAATATGCTTCTAAAACTGCTTTTTTTATAAATCAGAAAATCAAATATTTCTTCGAAACTAATAAAAAAAAGACTACTAGTTACTTCCCCAATTTTATACATGATAGTAGTTAATATCTAACGATTGAATTCATAAAACACGGATGTCCGCTTCTAAGGCAATATTACACACTGTGCTTTGCTTTGTTGAAGTATTTTATGATTGAGGTAACAAAATACAAAAGTTTTTTAATAGGCTCGTCTTAATATTTTTTTGGTTTTTGTTGTAAATGTAAGTAATAGGTACATAATCAGATAAAAACTTAATAATACGATATTTATTATGTAGCAAAATAGCAATAATTTACATCACAGAGTGCTTCCGATGACAATATAGCCGTCGCCGTCGTTTATAATAATTATCCAGTGGGGATATTATAATGGAATAGAGGTCATCATTTTGTGCCATTATTACACAGTCATGTTGTAATCTTTATTGATACCTCAAATCAAAGCTATTACATGGGATTTTCATTTTACCACGGCTCCAGTCGCTAGCCACGATTTAAGAAAATAATCTTATAATGGAATTACTGCGCGTGCGCAAGCGCGCCGTGTGGTAGTCTTAGATTAATAAAACCTAGATGGATAGTCTTCATACAAACGCTTCGTCAAGAGTGAGGCAAAAACCTTATGTCATTAGTGTCAATTTTGTTGGGGAGTGTAGACAGTGAAGGCGATTTTCCCGAAAGTAGGGAAATTTTTAATACGTTTTTAATTATTTAATAACTAACAAAAACAAAACGCAACATGTACTTACTTATTTATTGAATTCAAAGTACCTACCTAATTACAATAAGATAAATCGACTGAAAAGTCTCGATTTCATAAAAAAGGAAGTGTATTTGTACGGCGAACAATTGGGAAATAAATTTTCTTGTTACTGGTATCATTCCCGTATTTAATTTTTGAAAGCCAAATTCAAGCAAAATACGCGTCGAATCGTAGTACTTACTTATGAAATGTAACACTGGTCACTTTCTTTAGTTTTTCTGATGTATTTAGACACCCTTTCACAGCACAAACCGTCTTAATTAATTAAAAATCGTCGGACGTGTTTACCAATTTTTCACTTTGACAGTTCATGTGACGTTTACGAGTAAGCCATTCTGGCTTACTAAAATCTGCCTCACCTTTCGTGCACTGACTATCTATCTAGGTTTTATTAATCTAAGGTGGTAGTAGTATTTTTCATGAGATAGAAGACGTTCAACGAAAGAGCCGTTAGTTCTATTTCCGTACTAAAAATGCTACTTTATGACTTAAGAGCAACATTAACAACCATTAGCGGGAATAACGGCTCAAAAAACATCACAATAAAAGCATTATGATTATCAATTTCTGGGGGGACGGCGCGTACGCAGTCCCCACTACCAAAAATTACGCATCCGAGTTATCCACATTAGGGATAATCGCAGGGGTCAACCGTTCCGCAGTGCAATGGAACAGCCTCGCCCTGGGGGAACCGCCTTCATGATCACGGTGTCCCCTATGCCAGGTAAGTATGCTTTGTCGAACTCGGGCCGGGGTAGTCTTGGCAGGAAAAAAAACTTGGACACCGCGATGTAAATTTTTGTATGGCTTTGTACAGCGCCATCTATTGGTATGGTGATGGCACTAACTAGGTGAATCAGACACCATGTTAGTGCAACGGACTGCAACGTTTTTAATGATTTTATTAAAATGATTATGTTGATTGATTTAAATAAAAAAATACAATAATGTAAATAAATGTCATGTTATTAATTTTCTCACTATCGTACCTCAAAATAGTAATAATATTTTTTATTTTGTGATCGTACTGAGTCCTAATTTTTTAATTATATTAAATTATCAGGAGTATGTTTTAATTTTTTTTTGTAAATAAAATAAATTTCCTGTTAACCTTAACCTGCCTGCCTAGGTAAAGATACACCTTTTTGCAGGGAGCGCCAGGGACCAAGCGCGGCGACAACTACACCTCTGTTCTCTACCGAATCTCCTTGAAAGGCACCGAACGGCACTCAGACGGGACCACCGCCTCCGACGAGCCCTGGCAGGGGTCCATCATCTACAAGTGCCTCCCTGAAAGCGCCCTCCTCCGGGACGCCTTTAAAAGCGACGAATTATTCTGCAACGAGGTCGCATTCTACAACAAAATCTGGCCAGCACTGTCCAACTTCCAAAAGCAATGGCCCAACCTTAAAGTACCTTTCAAAGCCATACCAAAGTGCTACCTAGCCCAAAGCGACATCGTAGTCCTGAAGGACTTGAAACAGCAAGGGTTTGTCATGCCAGACAGAAGGCAGGGGCTGAGCATAGAGCAGAGCTATCTGGTGCTGAAGAATCTGTCACATTTCCACGCCTTGTCATTGGCAATGAAATGTCACAGCCCTGAAGATTTTTACGAGCTGGTGAATGTGAAGGATGGGATTTCTGAAGGTGGGTAGACCTATATACTTTTTAATAACAAGGTTTGAATTTTGATTTATAAGTTATATCTTTTCTTCCAGTGTTCTTCGTGTCAGAAAACGAGGAGTATTACAAGAACTACTACAGGGAGGCGGCGAGGAATGCCCTCGAGATGGTCGAAGAGGAATTGCAGGACACGGAAAACAAAGACAAGTATGAAAATTTCAAACCAGGACAGAATTAATTAAAATGGTATCAAGTAAACTAGTAACTTGCTCATTTCAACCTAATGCCGTCCACTGCTGGACAAAGGCTTTCACTCGGATTTCCATAACTACCAGTATTACAACCTTCACCAGATCATCGGTCCACCGAGTGTGAGGCCCGCCTACACTACGTTTAGTTCGAAGTCTACTAACTACTAAAATGATGTGTTTGAAGAATAAAACTTAATTTTTAGATACATCGACAAATTCCGCGACTTCTGCAAGGAGGATACGTTCTTCACGACCATGGTGGACCTGGTCACGCCCAAGGAGCCTCTGGCGGTCATCTGCCACGGCGACTGCTGGACCAACAACTTCTTGTTCCGTTATGCGGACGGAGATATTGCTGAGGTAAGATATTAATTAAAGTAGCTAACTAAACTATAAGTTATTCAAACCGTCAAACGGTTTCAAGGCCAAGGCAACAATAAAGTCTAAAGAATTGACTGGCTTCAACAATTAACGCCTACAAAAATTGTTAAGACATTTTCGAGAACATGATATTTCTTGGTAAAATATTGCTATGACGTTTTTAACAGGAGCATTGATTCTAAAATAATACCTTGTATACATTTAACGATAATAATCACTTGCAATTATTTACCCTGTTGCACGTCTTCTTGACTGGTAGCCTCAATATGGCCCCGGTCAAGAGGGCGCGCAATCCGCAATCTTCATCGTGTTGGTTCCCGCTGAAAACCAGCTTCTCGACATGGCGCTTGTTATGTCGCGAATATAGCTGAGCGGACGCCTCTTCAGCATAGCTTGTAGTTTAATGTTATATGTACTGTATTTTTATTTTATTTTTCTATGCTGAATAAAGTATTCTTATTCTTATTCAATTATAGCGTGAAAATTTTAACCAATCCCTTTCCAGATGTGCATAGTAGACTTCCAGCTGGCGCGCTACGCGAGCCCAGCGCTGGACCTGATCTACATTATGTACGTGTGCCTGGAGCGGCAGCAGCGGGCCGAGCACCTGTCCTCTCTGCTGGACTACTACGTGGAGGAAATGCACGCTCGGCTGCTGGAGATGAGCGAGGAGGGATCCGTGTTCCATACGAGTCTGAATAGGGACGTGCTGTTTGATATGTGAGTTCAATACGATATTATTATGTGGGTAGGAGTTAGATATGGACGCTAAACGCACGAACAACGTGGCAAGTAAAACATTATAACTAACGCTAGCGGTCGCGGGTTCGATCCCCGCACAGAGTGACTTCAACATTGGAAACGGAACGTTTTTGTAAGTAGGTAAGTACATAAGTAAAGGTGCTACTCGTAATATCCCATAGCTTAATAGGTACACCATTAAGTAGCTAGCATTAAGCTATGTGTGGCTTTGCTTAGCTGTAGTTTAGATTTCGCAGACATTGTAAAATGTCCAAGTACCTACATACTGCGCTGCGTAGTACCTACATACTGCATAATACAGCGCTGGACGCAGGCCGCTACCAATCGATCAACATGGAAAGCATTGGGGGAGGCCTATGTTCAGCAGTGGACGTCCTATGGCTGAAATTATGATGATGATGATGATGACCTACATACTTCCTTTGCTAATAAAAATCTTTTAAGAGACTATCGTAAGTAGGTAACATAAAATTGATACTATTGCACAAGTTACTTAGGTATCAATAAAATAAAAATCAACAATAGTTAGCAATAACTATCGACTTTCCGTCCATCGCAGGGTGCAGCAAGAGTTCCGGCGCTGCGGGCGCTTCGGGCTGGGCGTGGCGTTAGACATGTACCCCATCATGACCTGCGACAGCACCGAGGCGCCCAACCTCTACCAGGCCAACGTGAGTGTCTAGACATTTTATTTCTAGTACCTACCTATCTCGCAGAATTGCTAAAATCAAGTGGCAGTGGGCGGGGTACATAGCACGTAGAGACGATGGCCGTGCAAGTTCTCGAGTGGCGACCACGGGCTGGAAGACGGAGCGTGGGCAGGCCTCCTACTAGGTGGACCGACGATCTGGTAAAGGTCGCGGGAAAAGCCTGGATGCGGGCAGCGCAAGACCGTTCATTATGGAAAACCTTGGGGGAGGCCTTTGTCCAGCTGTGGACGTCATTTGGCTGAAACGAACGAACGAACGAACCTACCTATCTAACTTTAACAAATTTAATTATTATAGAACTATAATAATCTACCTCATAATCTACTCTAGTCACGTTTGTCCAAAAAAGTCTTTAAATTCTTACGGATACAATGTACTTAGACCTAGGTACCCGTTCGCAGTTTGCCATCGATGACCGTTACAAAATTACGTCATTAAACGGTATACAAAATAATAATTTTCATTGCTATATTTTCGATTGCATTTAAACCAACCAAGATGGCAAGCGATACTGTTTTTTTAAATTCGTAGATAAAAAATATAGGTAAAAGGTAATGCGGGGAGGGTGGGAGCGGCCACCTCGAAACGAACGCGTTCTACACAATTTAATAAAGGTACTTATGTACGATTTTAGTTAGTAAAGTAACTAAAAGATTGGCGCAAGTGCGACCAAAAACCTAGCTAGGTTACAAATTATTATAACTGGCCGTATCTCCCATATTGTAAGGTAGGTATTGATGGGCAAAAAGTACGTTACTTAGGCATATTTTTTCAAACTGATATTTCTCTGGGCAATAACGTAGCGTTAGGAAACAAAAGAATAAACCAAAAATAGATCCTGAAACCCCACAGCACGTTACTATGACCAATTTAATCGTTGTAAGTACGGTAGAAAATATTCATAGTCATAGGAATTCATTACTTTGATTTACAATTTAAAAGAACTTACCTTTATACAGCAGCTGGATTGAATCACGAAAACAGCTTTCACCACTTATTTTACATAAAAATCACTTGAAACTCGTTAAAATAAAAATCACATCACAGCACCGATACTGAAGACTCCAGGGAAAAATAAAATTAATTTGGAGGTTGGTGAAAGAAATTGCTTTAACTTTTTTTTACGTGATAGAAAAAGAATGCAATGGAATTTAAAATTGGAATCTTCGATTCACAATAAAAATTAAAAGAATCTTCATTCATTCACCAGATGTCGCTGAAATCGAGTTTTTTTTTTAAATTTCGATATGGTGACCGATTGTGACTGAGGCCACAGGCCAAGGTCATAAAAATATACATTCTTGTATTATTTAGAAAAAAAAAATCGGTCTAAATTATTCTTGCCAATAAAAAAAATGAAAATCATCCCGAGACTGGTGGCGCCGCCCTGGTGGCAATTTAAACACCTGTATAAATTGAACACAAAATATTGTTTTTTTTTTTAAATTACAGTTTTAAATTTTTATTGTTTTGTTTGCAGGACTCGGAGGCGTGTTGGAAACCAGTCTGGACCTCAAACGAAGCTTGCAGAAGGAAAATGACAGATTTAATTGTAGAACTAGTCGATGGGGATATGTTGTAAATTATTATTTACGAAACAAAATCTCGACAAAAATGTTTTTTCAGAGATACGGTTACGTAGACAAGATAAAAGTTCATGAGCTATAGTTTATTTAATACATTATTTAATAGAATTAAGTAATATTTTGTACATAAATTACCTAAAATATTTATATAGCGTTAAAAAAAAACTGCAAAAATATGTATATAAATTTATTGTATTTAGTTTAGTAAACACATACAATAAAACATTGGTGTTAAGGATCTTAAAGACAGTATTATTTAATTATAATATAGAGCGTATGCTTCGCATTTTGTGACACAATCCTTTTGATCAATATCAAAGCCATTCTAGACTCTATTACGTATAAAAATCAGATCATTATCTACGTCTTTGTTTTAAAATATATTTAAAATACATACTTATCATAGTCTTAATTACATAAAATACTTACAAGCTTTAATAAAACGGTATAATATTAAATTAATGACTTTATATTAAACTGGGATTCTTAACAGACTGTCGATCCGGTTTCTACCAGTTTAAACTGGATTTTTGCACCTTTTTAAAATAAATAATATCCGGACCACTCGTCCATTAAAGTAAGAAATCTGGTGATTTAAAATAATGTTTAAAATACCCGTACTTATTCGTGGCACATACATGTAGTGATTTTTATTTTATTTTTATTACTTATTTTAAATCATAATAATAACGTACGGGTCAAATTAAAAATGAAATATAACTTATTTTAAAATTTTCGAAACTAACGCAGATCTATGAAAACATTATTATTTAAATTATAATAATCAGTAGGGTGGTCCTTATTCCTACGAAAAAATTTTTTTTTCTTATATTTTGCGGGGCACCACGTAATTTGAATATATACCATATGAAAGTCTTTCATTATTTTTTTTTTAATTTTTAAAAGACATTTAGGGGTCGCTACCAAGGTTTGAATTTTAAGTAAAAACACAAAATTTGTATTTGTTAGATTCATTTATTTTTAAAGCCAAAGCCAAATAAAAATATTACAAAATTATTGTTGTTGCTATGAACTAAGATATTATGTACAATGGACATTATTTGAATCAATTATTTTTAAGATATAAGAGTTTACTTGTTAGTATCTCGACGCGTCGGTACCATGGTCGGTACAGAAGAGGGGTTGAGGGGAGAAGGGGACAAGAAGCGATTGTCTATTCTATCTATGCGATGTTCATTTGCACGTAAAATGTGATATAAACACTTAAATAAAACATTTATGAAACCATGATTTAAGATCTTCAAAGCTTTTGTAAATATTTTGACAGCTGGTAGCGACCTCTAAATCTTAACCAAAAAAAAAAACAAAAAAAGCTAATTTCATATTTAGAGGTATATAATCGAATGAGAAAGTGCCCCGGGGATAATTCAAAAGTCGAAAAATAAGGACCACCCTAATAATCAGTCATTGAAAACTTCAGATTGTGTTGAGATTCTATCGCCTTTTGCATCTGAAGATTCCAATAATATTTTTTTATTATTTGTTGGTTAATAATTTTATATTTTTTTATTTATTACTAAACTGTGCCTTGCTATAGATGACCCACGCTGAACTGTCCCACCAAACTCAATGACAGGGGGGCGCTACCATCGTTCAACTATATGGTTTCCAACATGGCTAAAATCTGAACCAGCGATCCGGTATTGACGGTGGCGCCCCACTGTCTGTCATCGACAGGATAGTCCAGTATTTTGGAACTATACTTGTTATGTTACTTTATCATTGCCAGAAAGAGATAACGCTATACTAAACATAGGGTTACTCGTTTCATGCGAAAAATGTAACATTTTTAAACAAATACTCGAACACTGGATTCGTTAGTACAATTTGATTTTCAAAACACGTTAATTCAATACTTTGAAAGTCGAACTATACTTTTAGATTAAAGCTGTGTGTCCACTGGGCAACAACAACTAGAACTGTGTTGCCAGTTATTATAAACAAAAAGAAATGAAAAAACAGATTCAAAGTCAAGTATTGCCTAGTGGATTCACAGCGTAAGGCACTAGTATCTTACTCAAAGGTTTACCCTGACATAAAAATTTAGTTTGGTTACTTGACACTGGCCCGTATGATCTGTTGGGGGCTAAGACCGCCGCGACCTTTGGAAGCCTGGGTGGGACGCATGAAACCTGAAGTCCTTGGGACAGTCTTCAGCGGAGGTCGGGACGCTCCCACCGAGCTGCCTGAGGAGGAAGAGCGGGACGCTGGCATGCGGGACACTGGCTTCGGGACAGGCTTTGGAGCGGGCTTCACTGGGGTAGGGGCACGCTTCACAGTGGCCACTGATGCTGAACTGTTCAATGAGCTTCTAGAACTTCGCAAGGAAGCTCTTGAAGTAGACCGCTCAACTCTTAGAGAGCTGGTTCGTTTAGGAACGGCTCGCTTTGGGTCCAACGGCGTCCGCGGAAGGGTTTTGGTGTCTTTGGTCGGTATTCTCTTTGGAATGTCGGGGGTTTTCGTCGGCTTGGGGACGGGCGAGTCGCAGTCTACGTTGCAGCCGGAGGACGCGCCTTGGGACGCGCTTTCGGAGTTGAGGCTTTGAGTCTCCTCGAAGCCTTCGTCGTTGAGCTCGTGCTCGCTTTTGACCTTCGACATGCGCGGGGACGTCGTTCTCTCCACAGTAGGCTTTTCGGTCTTCGAATTCGTCGATTTCCTATACGCGTTCCTCGACCATACTCCCGTCGGGGTCTCCGTCGGAGATTTCAGCTCCCTAATCGCTTTCTGGACGTCTTCTTGATTTATAGACGTCTGCCGCCTCAACCTGGAATACGTAGGCTTAGTTTCTTTGGTCGGTGTGGATGTGCTTTGGTTCTTGAGTCGGTCCTGCCAGCGTTTGAGCCTGTGCTCCTTTTCGTCTTTGACGACCGCTTCTATCGGCTTCGCTACTTCTTGAGGAGTCTCCACTGCATATGACGCTTGGACTTCTAGCTTAGAGGGTCTGATCACTTGCGTTTCTGCTACCAATTCCGTGACTGGAACCTCAGGTTTCTTCTCATCTTCTGGGGAACTGGAATCGGTATTTCGTTTGTACCTCCTCGTTCTTCTGGCAGCTGAGAACCTGTCAAACTGTCCGTCTCCTAATATCTCCTGGCAGAGATCCTTCATTTCTGCTGTCGCTTTATCGTTCATGTTAAACTTGGATAAGGACGGCTGGAACTTTCTGCAGGGTTCCCTCTCTGGTGGGGGGTTGAACATCTTCCTTTGTACCGGTGGTGTTTCAATATTGTCAGCGTCTATTTCTCTGTCAGTTCGTTCTAAGCGGCTCTCCTTTTCGGAGGTGACCTGTATGTCGGGTAGGCGGCGTTTCTCTTCCTCTGTGATGGAGACGAGCGAGGATTGTGTGTCGAGCTGCGGTCGCGAGCGCTGCCGCCGAAGACGTCTCATCTCTTCGTTCTCTTCAGTCTTTCGCCACGGCACGCGGTCTTTGTTTTGCGGTTGCACATCTGGGAAAACATTTAGAATTTCATGAGAAAGGTGGAGTAGGTTCGTAGTCTTTTGAATTTAAAGTCCTAATAGGATAGCCAGAGTATATCCTTGATAAAAGATAGAAAATAAAAATTATGGATCTTGTCTATGAACCGAGGGTATCAAGCAACAAGCAGTGGCTGTATGTAAAACAGCGGGAAATCGTGTTTTGAGCCTTGGCTTGCGCCCAGCAGTGGATTGCCATTGGTCGAAATGATAAAAGTGGACATGACGAATGTGATCATGGTGATAAAGGTGATAGTAATTATAACGAACGCGAAATTATAATGGTAGAGGTGATGAATTTATTTATTATTATTTATTTATGTATGTATCCATATGTTATTTATGTATTTTTTTTTCTAAATTCATATTAATTTTATACCGCCTACTTTATTCTCAGTTTGGCCCTAAGGTTGACTGGAGGAAAATGCCGAAAGGCATTAAGTCCGCCTTATGTACACCGTTCTATGTGCATGTAAGTTTAAATAAATAAATAAATTCCTGGTTCTCCTAAATAAATAAACGAATGATGGCTTGATGGAGATGATAATACAGGTTCTTACGATGATGATGAAAGTGGTTATGATAAAAGTGATGATGACAAATGGAATGATAATGAAGATTATGACGAAGATGATGAAGATGATGATGAAGCCTACCTTCAACAGTCTCGAGCGCGCGCACGACGTCACTATCAGGCAGCACGGCGGGCCGCCAGTCGCCGCGCGCTTCCGGCAGAGGGTCCAGGGTCGCACTTCGCTCGCTCTCTGCAAATAACAAAACACTTATTATTTACTAGCTTTAACCCGCGTGGATTTCGGTCTGCCACAGAATTTCCACTAGAAAAAATCGAAAAAATTTAAACATGATCCTTCGAGCCGGAGTTTTTATATGACGCCCGACCGCTGCTCCGTTGAATGGACGTACGAGTGATATTGTCGGTGTTGACGGTAGTCAGCAAAAATGTTCACCGTTTGTTTTTTGTTTCTGTATTAGTTAAGGTATACAAGTGTAAATGTTAATGTATGTTTTAAATTCAATAAATTATTTGTATTTGTATTTGTATTGACGTAGATCTGCAGATGGTCCAGGCTAGTACAATAACTTGCGCCTTCAATTATTTTTTAGTGAGGCGAGCCTCAGATGATTTACTAGCCGTCCCAATCGGCCAGAGGGTAGAAACTTCATGCGTTTCCCGATGGGAAAAAAGGTTTAGCAGTAGCATATTTTACCAGAAAAATCAAAAACTAGGCTAGCTAAGTCTTGAGCTGTCCAAAATATCGTCCTATTTTAAGACATGAAGCTATAGTCACAGAGTCCATTCTTACCGGAATCGTTTTCCAAAGAGCGTCGATGGGCTTGAAACCTGCGCGCGCGCTCCCGTAGTTCCACCTCTCGCCGCTCCTCTTGACTGTGTTGCTAAGCTATTTTGAACCCTGAGGCTATAGTTATAGGGTTCAGTTCTTACCGGAGTCGTTTTTCAAGGAGCGGCGGTTCGCCTGGAGCCACTTGCTGAGTTACTGGACAACCACTTGCTGAACTATTGTGAACTCTAAGGTTATAGCTATGGAGTCCAGTTCTCACTGGAGTCGTTTTCCAAGGAGCGTCGGCGCACTTGGTGCAAGCAGTCACTTGCTAAGCTATTTTTGACCTTGAGGCTAAATAAATAGATTCCATTCTTACCCGAATCGTTTTCCAAAGAGCGTCGGTACGCTTGCCTCGCGCCTCCTCCTGGTTGTCTTGCTGAGCTATTGTGGACCCTGAGGCTATAGGAATAGAGTCCATTCTCACCGGAGTCGTTTTCCAAGGAGCGCCAGCGCACCTGGTGCAAGCAGTCACTTGCTAAACTATTTTCGACCTTAAAGCTATAGTCATAGAGTCTATTCTTACCGGAATCGTTTTCCAAAGAGCGTCGATGGGCCAGGGCCGGATTAACCATCTCGGGGCCCCTAGGCACAGCTCGTTTCGGGCCCCCCTTTTTTGTCGCGGAGGAAATGCTTTAATTATTTTATAGTATCGGGCCGTAACCTTAGACTTCCGCGACACCACCGGCGACATCTCGCCTACACGGCGGACCCTAGACGCCCCCCTTGTGGGGATCCGACGGGAATGGCGCGAATCGCCAAGCCGTTCCCGTCAGACGGAGGTGACAAGGGTGCCCCCGCACCCCCGGCCTGCTGGCCGCCATCTGTGGGCAGAGTAGAACGGTCGTACAACCGCCTTCTCCACCCCCTTCTCCGCCTGCGGAGCGATGAGGCGACAGGATCGTTCTCCCGCTCGCACTCCGCTGCCTCCTTCTGAAAGATGATCTCTTCGCAAAAGAAGGCGACCACCATCCAGTATCCTTCACTTCCCAGCATGGCGTTGACCAGGCTCGGAAGCAAAAGATCCCGGCCCACGACCGCAGTGAGGACACGGCGCTACTCCTCCCAGCCTGTGCAGATCGCGAGGGTGTGCTGCACCGTGTCATCCGCCGCGCCGCATTTGTGGTACAGCGGGGATTCCTCGGCCGTGTGGTGACGGCAGAGTAGAATACATTTGTCACCAACCCCTACTCTTCCCGCGGGTGTCGTAAGAGGCGACTTAGGGACTACATATCAAACAGAGAACGGGCAGCAGCGCTCTCTGAAAAACATCAATCTTTTAAACTGCGTTCTCCAACCCGCCTGCCAAGCGTGGAGATTATGGCAAAACCCTCCACTATAGTGGAGGAGGCTCATAGTCTAGCAGTGGACTGTAAAGGGCTGTTGATGATGATGATGGGGATTCCTCTCGCCCGATCCTAAGCAGGTACGAACCGAAGCAGCCATCGGTCAGCACTTGCGCCAGACGGAACGTGAGGAACCCGTGCAGTCGTTCCAACCATTGGTGAGAACAGGACCAATGGCGTCCAGAGTGCGGCAGCCAAACTGCGCGCGAGTCATGTCTTCCTTCCTGCGGGCGATCATGATCTCGCGCTCTTCCTGCCTGACGGCGCCGCGCCGCTCCGGGGCCGGGCGCTATCCACGCGCCTTTTGGTCTGCCATCCAGTGATAGATGACAGATGACAGACAAGACCCCAGCTTCTAGCTCCCAAAGGAGGAGTACCAGCGAGGACGCACGCCACAGCGTGCCCTACCGTACGGTAGGTCCTTGCGACTTTCTGCGCTATGGCCCGCTGGGGCCTGCGCATAAGGGCAGCATTCTCCCTCTTGTTGAGTGCGTCCGTCCAGATTGGGGCGCCATACAGCACCATGCTCCTCAGAACGCCTGCATAAAGTCGACGACACCTCATTTTGTGGCCCTTCCAAATTCGGAAGGGGCCAACTCAGTGCGCCAGCTGCCTTGAGGAGGCGTGACGCTAGCCCGTTGAAGTGTGGGCTAAAATACCACCTCCCGTCAAGCGTGAGGCCCAGATATTTCATCTGGACTTTGACGTCAATCCTAACGTCCTTAACCACAATGTGGGCGTCGGGAGGGGTGCGCTGGCGAGGCCCCGGTAAGAAGAGGGCCTCAGTCTTCTCCAGCGCGACTTTCAGGCCGAGGCATCGTATTCTGCGACCGACTAATGTGCCGACCGCCGACGCCAGCCGCGCCGCGGTCCCAAATGTCTTCTCCCGGGCAGTGACCAGAGTGTCATCCGCATAGCATATGACACTCATGCCCGCGAGAAGGACGCCCCAGAGGAGCCAGTTGAAGCCTAGGTTCCACAAGAGTGGACCGAGCACCGAACCCTGCGAAACCCCGCTGGCTACGTACGCCGCGCCGTTTGAGCTGGCCGTCTCTGTTAATATACAGGACTTCGCGGGCCCGTAAGTAATCGGCCGGCAGCGCTCGAAGGTACTGAGGCACTCTGTGATGTTCAAGTGCCTAGAGTATGGTGGAATGAGGAATGGTATTCTTTCAATACCAATATCCAAAGGCTATATCGAATGATACAGTCAACACACCCTCACCCCTCTCCCTAGCCTCTGCAATGAGGCTTTTTAGCCTCTGAAGGGCGTCGACGGTCGACCTGTCATGTAAACCAAAGCAGTAATGTCAACGTTACGAAAATGAATTAGTTTCCATCCACAATATCGAAATTTGACGATTGAATGTGTAAATCAAAATAAGGCAAAGTTTTGAGGTGGTTTGAGTTTTGTTGCATAAAAATAATCTTTAACATCTTTTTTTTTTTTCATTTTTTAATCGGGAGTGCTGGGCCCCTGGTCATAGTGGGCCCCTAGGCACTGGCCTAAAGTGCCTTATGGATAATACGGCACTGCGATGGGCTTGTAACCTGCGCGCGCGCTCCCATAGTTCGGCCTCGCGCCTCCTCCTGGTTGTCTTGCTGAGTTATTATGGACCCTGAGGCTATAGAAATAGAGTCCATTCTTACCGGAGTCGTTTTCCAAAGAGCGCCGATGGGCTTGTAGCCTGCGCGCGCGCTCCCGTAGTTCGGCCTCTCGCCGCTCCTCTTGACTGTTGGCGCGGAGCCACGACTCGATCTTCTGGCGCCACTCTCTGTAATATAGTAGTTTTATTTAAAACATTTTTGAACAAAAGCCATCTTAAATAAAATAAATAGTAATTAAATCTTAACCCCTGGAGCTAAGCTAAAATACATAATTATGCATGTGTTACGATTACGAGTGACTTCGCCACAATAGTCCAGCAGCTGCAGCGCCAGGTTGGAATAATATTGACAATCGCTGCTCTTTAAGAGGCTCTTCATGAAGTGGAAGGCAAGATACAGAGGTTGTCCCTATGTTCACACTATTATCTCTACAGGGTGGAAACATTAAGTGATATCACTCGATTATTTCTACTATACATAAGGTATCAAAAAACTGATTACTGATTTTGAAAGTGCTTCACGAGCTCTTTCAAACGGCATCAATAATCACGGTTACAGAATAAACTGGATATATCCGAAAATTCAATGATTCCAGGTTCCAGGTCCAGTGGTTTAAACCACTGGTCCAAGGCATCCAAGGTCTTCTTACGTCACTGTCCTAGCCACAGCGAGTGACAGATCCCCGTCAAATATAGAGCGTCGTGCTCCTGCAGTAGAGTCTAAATGTCCTGATGATGACACAATAAAAAGCATGTATAATGCGTGATATGCTCGGAGTTTCCCTACGTGATCGAATCAGAAATGAGGAGATCCGTAAAAGTGATTGACATAGCCCGCAGAATCGCTAAAATCAAGTAGCAGTGGGTGAGGCACATAGCTCGTAGAGCTGATGGCCGCTGGAGCAGGAAAGTTCTTGAGTGGCGGCTACGAGCCGGAAGATGTGGCGTGGGCAGGCCTCCCACTAGGTGAACCGACGATATGGTAAAGGTCGCGGAAGGTGCCTGGATGCGAGCCGCGCAGGACCGATCTGTGTGGAAATCTTTGGGGTAGGCCTTTGTCCAGCAGTGGACGTCTTTCGGCTGAAACGAACGATGATGTGAACTCCGGTCGCCGAGCACGTAGAATTTCGTCCAGTGACCCCAAGCTACCCATCCTTATCGCTCGCGCTTAATTATATTGATGTCGCAACTGTGCGACGGGCGGCCGCAGCGAGTGTGCGAGTGCGACAGCAATATACAGGGTGTTATTTAAATGGGTATATGAGCCGACACTAGCGCATGTTAACATGGTCATATAAATGGTATGGTGAAGTCAGAAATTTGATATCATAATTTTATTTTTTTTAATTTTCATACAAAATAAATTGTATAAAATCCGATTTGTATGAAAATTAAAATAATTAAAATGAAGATATCAATTTTCTGACTTCACCATACCATATGCCCATGTTAACATGGGCTAGTGTCGGCTCATATACCCATTTACTAAACACCCTGTATGATGGGTAGCTTGGGGTCATTGGACGAAATTCTACATGCTCGGCGACCGGACTTTAGCTATACTGACTTGGGTTTGGCGGGCGCGGGGTCGGGCGCGTCGGATGCCGGCTCGGCCGCGCGCGGGGAGGGCGCGCGCTCGCGCTCCGGGATCTCTAGTCTGGCACGCGCTGCGCCGCGACGTGACCACGACCGGTCTGCGAGGGAATACGACGATAGTATAAGAATAGGGTAAATAAATAAATAATGTCTTTATTGTGAATCACAGGTTATACAGTGTGAGTCACGTTAAAGTGTACATATGAAAATAGATGAAACTAGACCTATTTTCAACCGACTTCAAAAAAAGGAGGAGGTTCTCAATTCGACCCGTATGTTTTTTTTTTTTTTTTCTATGTTTGTTACGCGATAGCTCCGCCAATTATGAACCGATTTGAACAAATCTTTTTTCAGCGTATAGGTAATATCTCAAGGGTGGTCCCATTTAAATTTAATAATAAAAAAAACAACCCCCAAGGGTGGAAAATTGGGGATGAACTTTTTTATACGCAATATCTCCGCCGATTATAAACCAATTAGAACGATTACTATTTTGTTGAATAGGTATTATCAAAAGGGTGGTTTCATGCGAATTTGAAGAAAATATTTCACCCCCAAGGGTGGAAAATTGGGGATGAACTTTTTTATACGCAATATCTCCGCCGATTATGAACCAATTTGAACGATTATTTTTTTGTTGAATAGGTATTATCAAAAGGGTGGTTTCATGCGAATTTGAAGAAAATGTTCACCCCCAAGGGTGGAAAATTGGGGATGAACTTTTTTATAATATACATTAAGAATATGGTCTCAATGTACTGCCTACCTTCAGTGGTAACATCAAGGTAATAATTAGTCAACTAAAAAGCAAGAAATAAGTTAAATTTTATAAAAAAAAATAAAACCGACTCCAAAAAACCTACACTAAAAAGCAGAATAATAATTACTAATTACCTACTTATTTATTAGGACGAATTATTAATATTTATGTAGGTATACCATGATTGATACTTTTGGAGTCGGTGCAGGCAAACTTTACATGTTTCATAATCTTGGCACCGACTCCAGAAGTATCAACCATGGTATACCTACATAAATATTAATAATTCGTCCTAATAAATAAGTAGGTAATTAGTAATTATTATTCTGCTTTTTAGTGTAGGTTTTTGGAGTCGGTTTTATTTTTTTTTATAAAATTTAACTTATTATCGACAAAAAAGAGGTCAAAAATTTTTTGAGATTTTTTTTTAATTTTTTATGGATTTTTTTTTCTTCCAATTACTTGTTGTAAAGAAAACGTAATAACTTTTAAACTAAGCGGTATATCCTGATAAAATAAAAACAGTAATAATGCAAATTAACAGGCGATACTAAACTAATACATAAAATACACAAAAAATGCCAACAAATAATAAAAAATGATACTTTTTGAAAAAAATCTGCTTAAAAATTCGTGTTTTTTTGGTTATTTGATAAATTTCTCCAAAAAATGCCCCTATAACCGGTGGTTTTTATTACTTTGTATTATTCTCTATCGTATTATCTTTGTAAAACCAAAAATCGCATGTCTCTATCCCTATCACAACATTTGCTATGATATGCTCAATCATAAGTAATTGGAAGAAAAAAAAATCTATAATAAATTAAAAAAAAATCTCAAAAAAATTTTGACCTCTTTTTTGTCGATAAAAATAGGTCTAGTTTCATCTATTTTCATATGTACACTTTAACGTGACTCACACTGTATACTTAAAGGTCACATATTACAATGAGGGCTATCGTTTCAGCACTCACCAGTTAGCGCTACTGTAGAGTAAGGTCCTGTCACTTGCTAGTAGCGAAGACAGTGGCACCAACTGGTGGGCGCGTAAGTGGTAGGAAGACTATCGCATTTGCACTCATCAAAATGGCGCCACTGTAGAGTAAGGTCCTGTCAATCGCCAGGGGTGCCAACTGTTAAGTATAAAAACGATAGCCCTCATTAGTTTCACTGTGTTTCGCCTTTTAGGCATACAAAAATGGGCGGTGTGAAAAAATGGGCAGACGACCTCATAAAGGTACAGGACTATTCCCACCGCTGCAACTTCTGTATAGCCAGGATCTACAGCTTGACTGTCAATAAAAACCCAACCAGTGAAGGTCAAGTTTGTCCCGGGGTGAGGGAAAGTTAAATTGTCATTGGACCCGCAATGAGATTATTCAGAAGAACATAGGAGTTCGAAGTAATGGTTCGATTTCCCTCTAGTGCAAACTGGTAAGCTTCATAAAAGTGCTGGATGCAGGCCGTTACCAACTGGTCAATCTGGAAATCATTAGGTCTATGTTCAACATGATCTATGGCTGATGATCAATAAAAGATAAATAATAAACCCCTAAAGCCTTTAAGGCATAAATGAACAGGCATCTTCTAGGAAATCCATTGTAGATCGCATCTGTAACCTCATCAGACTGGCTGTTATAAAAATTCTTGGAGCAATCCGAAGGCATTCAGGATACGAAGGAAAAGACATCTCCTGGGCTTCCACTGTAAATAACATCCTCAAATGTCATTGGTGTTGAGGTGAGGGCCAACCCATGCGCATACACTCGTACATATTACGTACTACCACGTTGGGAAAATATCAGCTGAGATAAAGTGGTGCTCTGTAAATCAGCTGACTTGCTGTGACGTCACACGCATGTCGGCGGGCGAGCTGTGACGTAGGAACTCCAGTAGACCGTCCTCGTCGGGCCGGGCCGGCTTGCTGTGACGTCACGCGCATTTCGGTGGACGAGCTGTGACGTAGGAACTCCAGTAGACCGTCCTCGTGGCCCGGGCCGGCTCGCTGTGACGTCACGACACTCACCCAGGCTGCCCCAGGCGCTGCGTTCCCGCGCGTCGGCGGGTGAGCTGTGACGTAGGAACTCCAGTAGACCGTCTTCGTCGGCTCCCGGGCTGGCGCGACTGCGGCGTCGAAGGCTGCCCGTGGGCGTCACGTCTACAAGAATTATCATCATTACAACAGTGTACCTACCTACCATGAGTTTACGTTAGGTGTGCTCGCTAGCGAGTCGTCAAAAATCTCGATGAAGATTTTGTTTCTTGAAAGTAGCCGCTAGGGGCGCTGCACGATATGTCATACAATTAATGACATTTTTTACGCAGTCGCTAGCGAGCACACTTAACGTAAACTCATGGTAAGTACACAGGTATAGAGTGTAGATTAGTATCACTGTATATCTAAGGTCTTGTCAATCGCTACGGGACTATTCCCACCTCTCGTTCCCACCACTGCAACTCCTGTGTAGCCAGGATTTTTTAATTTGAATTTGAATTTGATCTACAGCTTGACCGCCACAAAAACCCAACCAATGAAGGTCAAGTTTGTCCCGGGGGAAAGTTAAACTGTCATTGGACACCCAACGAAATTAATCAGAAGAACATAGGAGGAGTTCGAAATTAAGGTTCGACTTCCCTCCATTGCAAAGCGGATGACAGGTGACAAATAAAGGTTTAAAACCTTTAAGAAAAGATTTGTCAATCGCTAGTGGTATAAGCGCTGAAATGGTAAGACGACTATTGAAATTACATTCACTGGAATGCCTCTAATATAGGGTAATGTCTCACCAGTGACGCCAACTGGTGACTGCAAATACGGTACCACTCATTGGCAGCTTACTGCTGAATATAAACAGAAGAACAGGGACCAAGCGACGCAATAAAGCACGATACATTTTTCACCCAGAAAATGTCATTGCTTAAACTGGACAGTCCATCAAGCAGGCTTGTTCGATGCATGTGAGACTTGTCTACCTCGGGTGTCAGTATAACGTGATAATTTTGGGACACCCTGTATACTACGTTTGTCTCTTTATTAACTTCTTTAATCCCAATAAGTGCGCTGAGGTATTCCGTGGTTAATACAAACACATTAACCTACCTGGTGATGGTGACGGGTCGTGGGGCCTCCTCAAGGACCTCCTTCCGAGGCCGTTCCTGATGTCTAGCAGCAGTGATTCCATCAGAGATTCGCACTCCGACACTGGCGTGGTGCATACGCTGCCTCCTGTTAAAATATCATGATTAAAACACTGGAAACTTCCACCAAGGCGACAAAATGCGTACCTTCACTGTAGTTAAAATTCAGAGGGCTCTTAATCTCTACGTTTAACACTAAAATCCTAATAGTGATCCAAGTGAGGCTCGAACCTCGAATTAGAGCGTTGCTTAGGGGGGGAATCCTTATGCTCTATTCGACATTTAAACGAGTTGCAATGTACAGCCTGACTCTTGTGTAGATGACCCACGCTGAACTGTCCCACCAAACTCAATGACAGGGGGGCGCTACCATCGTTCAACTATATGGTTTCCAACATGGCAAAAATCGGAACCAGCGATCCGGTATTGACGGTGGCGCCCCACTGTCAATGTCATGCATAGGACAGTTCAGTATTTTAATATAATATAAATATCTTTGGACAATCTCACACAGCGCCATCTAGCCCCAAAGTAAGCAATTAATATGCTTGTGTTATGGGTGCTAGCTTAACGGATATACTACTTATATTTTAAAACTATATAACCTGTATATACAGTTTGTTGGCCCCCAATGAAACCCAACCAGTACCAGTTGAGTAATTCAGGCGGATAGCTTACTGTCTTGGAAGCCCCAACAGATGTAACCAGAAGAATATAGGAGTACGAAATATAATATCAGTTGGACAGACTAGTCTTAAGCCCGGTTTACATCAAGGCGGGCCTGTTGTGCTCACTGTAGAGATAGGAAAGTATTGTATTTGAGAAATTACCAGTGATAAGTTCCTTATGATAAGTGAATAAAGTTTAAATCGTGGTGGCAGGCAATATATTTATTTATCAGAATCTTATAAAGGTCTTGGGGTCTTACCAGTGGCTCGCGTGCGTGCGGCAGCAGCGTCTCTCGCGCGGCGGCGCTGGGCCGCCTGCTCCTCGTTGGCGCGGCGCCGCTCGTTGTCCGCCACCGCCGACTTGAACTTGTTGCAGAACGTCACGAATATCTGCAGCGAACACACATATTAGACCACAGTCTTTATTGCACACTACACATAACTTAGAAAAGTTTCAGTTTTGTTTATTAAATATTATCCTTTTATTTATAAATATCTTATCACATCTTCTCTACTTCGTCTATATCGTATATTTTCTACTACGTCTGTATTTACACTTAAAATTTATACGCGCACTATTATTATTATTTATGTATGTATATTTTATGCAGTATAGGTTAGTGTCCGTGACTCTCACTCGGCATGGGGCACACTGAAAACCAGGCATATGCTGAGTGGGGTCCCATTGCGATGGGTATCGCTGTGCGACAGGGTGGCACTGCTTAGTTTACTTGCTCTTTCATTGTATGTTTTATGTCACCTCTGTCTTATTTGCTTTTTTTTTTATTTTACCTCTTTTGTCTTTTGTGATGTCCATGGCAATAAATGTTTCTTTCTTTCTTTCTTTAAATGAAATTACACGGTTGAAAAAAAAACAAATCTTTTTTTAAATCCATAACGAGGAAGCTCTTAGTCTGCATCTCTCCTGATGGAAAGTGATGATCAGGACGAAGGTGGAAGCGAGCTTCACCCGGAATCCTCAACCAAAGAGGAACTGGCTATCCTCCCCTCTAACTGCCAGAACACAACAACGCTGTTAACAATGTTGTTATGGCGACAGATCTCTATGCCTCCTCTGGGAATCGAATCCGGGACCTCTGGGTCTGAAGCATGTGGTCTTATCACTACAGGTTCGGTTAGAAGTAAACGTAAATACAAAATACCTAAAGTGGGTATACAATTCGATTCCTATTTCAATAATTCTTCAATGAGTTATTCAACCGACATATGTAGGAATGAAGGAATATTGTCAAGTCAAACCTTAAAGCATTCCTCTAGTTTGAAGGAAACAGGGTCTTCACAGAAGAATTCGGCCAGCTGTTTCCTGATACTCTCCACCTCTTCCATATCTTTGTTCAATGCTGACACCTCTTGTTCTGCCACCTGTGAAAAAACACAATAGGTAAGAAATAACCAGAACCTAGCATGATGAAGCGATGACAAAAGTTTGGTAAGGTAAGATTTGAAACTTTGATTTGATTACCCAGGTGATCAAAGTGGACTCCAAGCAACAATTTGGTGTCCTTTGATCACCCATGGATAAGATGACCTGTCTGGATGTCTGGATGTTTGTTACTCTTTCACGCAAAAACTACTGAACAGATTTTCTTGAAACTTTACAGTATTATTGTTTATGACCCAGATTAACACATAGGCTATAATTTATGACAATATGTGATAAATTTCAATAAATAAATAAGACGTGTCTAAAAAGCGCCATCTATCGTCATTGTTTAAAATCTACAGCGCTGGACAAACTACTGTTTTTGACGTTCGTAAATATTCATGACGTGATACGCCATCTATCAATATGATATCTAACGGGGGTAAAACCAGGTCCACGTGTACGAAGTCGCGGGCGGCCGCTAGTCACTTATAAATTACATCACACCTCTGAATAGTCACATACATGTCCAATTCAAATCCAACAGTCGACTGCCATCTGTTGGAATAATGAATCTTCTCTTACCTGCAAGAAGTCCCCCATCTGTTCCTTAATATCCTGCTGGGTGAGCGGCATCTGAATCTCCTTCTTCAAGACTCCGATCCTCTGGCTGAGGGTCTTGATCTCATTGTATAGTTGCTCCACGCTGGCTTTGGCCGCTTCCTCTAAAACCCTGGTGTCGTCCGCGAAGTGGATTAACTCTTTGTTCTTTCTTTCTGCTTGCTGTGGAGGAAAGGTTTTGTTTTAAGGATATTCTGAGACAAAAAGATCTCTCTCTCACACAAAAAGTATTATCTAAGTCTTAAGGCTATTTTTGACCCAGGACAATAGCTTTTTCTGGTATATCTGTTGGCATTAGTATTCTAACCCCTTAAAAAAACAGGAGTATTGTCTTCACGCCATTTAGTGGACGCCGCCTTGGGTATATAAATAATCAACACGCTTTGTGGTCGTCCCTTCTTTTATGGTCAGACCAACCACGGTCCCCTTCCACCAATTGGGGTGGTTTTAAAGCAATAGACGATGGATGAGACGACGAAGAATGTTTAAGAAGCTGTCTTAAAATGTCCCAGGGGGGGCATGGGGAAGCAACTCCACCTGAAAATTTTACACCCCCACATACCTACCTTATGTTTCGCTTTATTTATGTGACCCTGATTAAAAACCACCATGTTCATCCCCTGGACATGGACAGATCCTAATACCTACCTGTTTCGTTCTTATGAATAGATCTAAGCACGAGGGACCCTGCCAAAATTTTTGATTTGCCTGGCCTTTGTGCCAGAATGTTCTGGCCATGAGTATGGACATGTTATTTCTAGTCGCCTGCGTCAGGAATCTGTAGCCATGTATTATATGCAGTGTTCTCACCATGGCGACGTAGTGCATGAGGTTCATGCCGGGCTTGTTGGCGCGGATGTCGGCGAGCTTCTGCAGCGAGCCCAGCTTCGCGTTCAGGAAGTACAGACGCATGTTACATGGTGCTCCCCCCATGGCGAAGCAAAGAAGTGTATGTGGAAGTATGGTGAGAACAGCGACGTAACCTCCCTCCATGGCAACGTCAGGAAGGTATGTGGAAGTGCTCCCAACATAGCGACATTAAGAAGGATGTAGAAGTGCTCTCATCATCTATCTGTTCGGCGGGTTTATTGCAGCTTCATGCACGTCTCCCACGTCACCGTCCGCGTCAAGAAGTAGCCACATGTTGCCTATAAGTGGTCATAGCGACGTCAGGAAGGTATCTGGAAGTGCTCTTACCGTGACGACGTCAGAAAGGCATGTGGAAGTGTTCTCTCCATGGCGACCTAAGGAAGGTATGTGGAAGTGTTCTCACAAAAGTGACGTCAGGAAGTATTTATGGAAGTTTTCTCACCGTGACGACGTCAAAAAGGCATGTGGATGTGCTCTGTTGGCGTATGGCGACGTTAGGAAGTGCTCTCACTATGGGGAAGCCATTGGGTACATGGAAGGTGTCTCACCATGGCGACATCAAGAAGTATGTAGAAGTTCTCTCTCCATGGCAACGTCAGGAAGTGCTCTCACTATGGGGAAGCCAGGAAGTGTATGGTAATATTCTCACCATGGCGACGTAGTGCATGAGGTTCATGCCGGGCTTGTTGGCGCGGATGTCGGCGAGCTTCTGCAGCGAGCCCAGCTTGACGCCGGCGGCGCCGCCCGCGTAGCCGCCCGCGTTCAGGAAGTTGCCCGCGATCAGTGCTATGTACAGCACCTCCTGTTAAAAACATTAGTTATTATTATATGTAAAGTTATGTGTCGTTGGTGTATCTTTTTCAATAAATAAATAAATTAGAATAAGGTCATTTAGTATCTCATGCAGGCTCACGACTCGTCAATTTACCACAACCATTTGGTCTACATAAAACATGGTACAATCGACAATTTAGCCTACAGCACCTTCTGTAACCAACCCATATTATGATCAGGTAATTTAGTCTCTAACGCAGGAATAAGAATCTCTGATTAACCAGAGGCAAATGAGGGTTTGACCTATACTCCTCACCCGTTTGAGAAGACCTACCTAATGTTCGCATATTTTTTTTGGCAACATTTTTTTTTCGCCTCATTGTTTTTGTACTTTTTAGTTGTCAAATAAATAATTCTTTCTTTCTTCCTTTCCTAATTGTCTCTTAGGTATACATGAAAGTGGGGGTAGTTCTATTCTATTTTACTGGAACCACTGACCGACAATTGTGACAGATTACATCTGAGCATCCTTTGGGTATGGAATGTGAAACCTAAAGTGGATCTAATAAAACATAATTAGGGGCAGAATCGAAATGAAATATTTTAGAGTAGAAATATTTTACAAAAATAGGACGTGTTGTATTTGTGAGTCTATTCTGGAATTTCTGAGTACCTATTTAAAAAAATAAAAAAACACTCTAACTTTACCTGTAAAGCTCTAGAGTTCATCAGATCATCCCCAGCCACCAGTATAGCGTTGATGGCACTCTCTAGGTATCCAGCGGTCGACACCCACTCTTCCTTCAGCAGCATACATTCTATCCTTAATTTATAGCTAAACAAAAAGATGAATGTCAAGGTTGTGCCATTTCAAATATTTTATAAGTTACCAAAATTACCACACAGATAAAAGGAGCTCTCAGCAAACTACTGTTATTAGTCTCTAACAAACAGCTTTCAAGAGTATTTTTTACACAACTTTATTGGACATTAATGAGCTTGAGATCTGAAAGAAGAAGCACAATAAATTCAGCTACTTGTTCACTAAAAATGTCTTAAAAAAATCATCAGGAATTGAGGAATCAGATTACGCGATGTACTTTTCTGATCTAAACAATTTCAAATCAATGTCTTTGTCTAATTAATGAACTTACTTTGGATCTGAATCAGTAGTAGCTTTTCAGCATTCCCCAATTTTGCGATGTGAAAGCCCTCAGTATTTAGCATTCATCTATGATCAATCTGATCTAATCTATGTTGATGGTAGAATCTTGGAAAGACCTCGGAGCTTTATAATGAACTAATCCATTAACTTACTTGGGAATCTGGATCAGCTGCAGCAGGAACTTCTCAGCGTTCCCTAGCTTGGTGACGTCTCCCGTGAAAGCCTTCAGCATCTCGCACTCGTCTATTTCCGGCAGAATCTCGGAAAGACCTCGGAGCTTCTAGGCTTTATAACTAACTAATCCATTAACTTACTTGGGAATCTGGATCAGCTGCAGCAGGAACTTCTCAGCGTTCCCTAGCTTGGTGACGTCACCCGTGAAAGCCTTCAGCATCTTGCACTTGTCTGTTTCCGGCAGTATTTGGAAAGTCTTCGGAACTTCCAGGCTTTATAACTAACTAATCCATTAACTTACTTGGGAATCTGGATCAGCTGCAGCAGGAACTTCTCAGCGTTCCCTAGCTTGGTGACGTCACCCGTGAAAGCCTTCAGCATCTTGCACTTGTCTGTTTCCGGCAGTATTTGGAAAGTCTTCGGAACTTCCTGGCTTTATAACTAACTAATCCATTAACTTACTTGGGAATCTGGATCAGCTGCAGCAGAAACTTCTCAGCGTTGACTAGCTTGGTGACGTCTCCCGTGAAAGCCTTCAGCATCTCGCACTCGCCTATTTCCGGCAGAATCTTGGAAAGACCTCGGAGCTTCCAGGCTTTATAAATAATTAATCCATTAACTTACTTGGGGATCTGAATCAGCTGTAGAAGGAACTTCTCAGCGTTCCCTAGCTTGGTGACGTCACCCGTGAAAGCCTTCAGCATCTCGCACTCGCCTATTTTCGGCAGGATCTTGGATAGACCTCGGAGCTTCCAGGCTTTATAATTAACTAATCCATTAACTTACTTGGGAATCTGGATCAGTTGCATCAGGAACTTCTCAGCGTTCCCTAGCTTGGTGACGTCACCCGTGAAAGCCTTCAGCATCTCGCACTCGTCTATTTCCGGCAGAATCTTGGAAAGACCTCGGAGCATCTAGGGTTTGTTTAATAATTAATCCATTAACTTACTTGGGAATCTGGATCAGCTGCAGCAGGAACTTCTCAGGGTTCCCTAGCTTGGTGACGTCACCCATGAAAGCCATCAGCATCTTGCACTCGTCTATTTCTGGCAGAATCTTGGAAAGACCTCGGAGCATCTAGGCTTTGTTTAATAATTAATCCATTAACTTACTTGGGAATCTGGATCAGCTGCAGCAGGAACTTCTCAGCGTTCCCTAGCTTGGTGACGTCACCCGCGAAAGCCTTCAGCATCTCGCACTCGTCTATTTCCGGCAGAATCTCGGAAAGACCTCGGAGCTTCTAGGTTTTATAACTAACTAATCCATTAACTTACTTGGGAATCTGGATCAGCTGCAGCAGGAACTTCTCAGCGTTCCCTAGCTTGGTGACGTCACCCGTGAAAGCCTTCAGCATCTCGCACTCGTCTATTTCCAGTAGGATCTTGGAAAGACCTCGGAGCATCTAGGCTTTATTTAACTAATCCATTTACTTACTTGGGAATCTGGATCAGTTGCAGCAGGAACTTCTCAGCGTTCCCTAGCTTGGTGACGTCACCCGTGAAAGCCTTCAGCATCTCGCACTCGTCTATTTCGGGCAGGATCTTGAGGAGGCCGCGGAGTTTCTCCGCGCCGATGTCGTCGTGGGCACCCTCGCGGATGAGTTGGATGATATCTTCGTTGGAACTGCGAACAAATTGAAGATGAGGGAAAAGCCTTATCAACTACCAAACTGAGAAAATATTGCTCCTACCGAGAATTGAACAAGGGACTTCTGGGTCTGAGACAGGTGGTCTTATTGCTAATTAAGTATTAATGGCATATAAAGCCAGTTTGTCGCTACCGACCAATCTGGAAATCATTTAGGGATTCCTAAATGTCCTTACAGTTGAAAAATGATGATGATGATGAAACCCAAATTATATTTTTCTGCCTGTTCTTAGGTGTAGTGCAGTCGAAAGCACGTGATTTTTAATGATTTGGTTTGCAAAATGGCAACCTTACAATGACAAAAGGATATTTTACGCACTTGATATTCATCTTCTGTATTTGAGGGTGGAACAATGTTATTTCAAAACACCTTGGACCTATATTAATACCCCTTTGTTCTATTCTAATCAGTTCTGCGGTAGAACTAGTGAAACTTTTTTTGTGGTGACACGGCACAGTGGCTTCTATGTGCTAAGAAGTAAAGGCGATTTTGCAACTAAAATGTATGGTCTGATGTGCTATCATCTGTATGGGTACTACTATAAATTAAATTTTTTTTTTATGCACAACTAGGAAGCTCTTGACCTGTATCTCACCTGATGGTAAGTGATGATCAAGCAGAAGGTGGAAGCGAGCTTCATCCGGAATCCTCAAACCACGGAGGAACTGGCTATCTTACCTCTAACTGCCGGAACACAACAATGCTGTTAACATTGCTGTTATGGCGACAGACTTAGGTAAGATGGTGGAATGGTGGTAGCTAGCCAGGCGGACTTAGAACAAGACCAACCAACAAGAAATGTAATACTATGTTGTGACTACCTTCGGAACTGTTTCAAAAAGATGTAGACATTCAAACTCCGCTTGCCGTCGAGCAGCGTGATCTCGGACGCCTCCTTGCGCGGGCGCCGCTCGCCCGAGCTGTCGCACACGGGGCTCCGGCCCAGCCGCGGCGACGACCCTGCCGAGCCCGTCGGTTGGATCTGAACACAGAGATATGATGAGAAGAAAGAAACATTTAAGATTTTAAAGTAAAAAAACAAGGGACAGAAAAAAGATAAAAAAAGGGACAAAAAAAGATAAAAATGGGCCAAAAAAGAGACAGAAAAAAAGACAAAAAAAAGACAAAAAAGGGTAAAAAAAAACAAGACAAAACTACCGTAATGAAGTTAGAGAAACTAAATATTGTTGTAAAGCCTGGTCCGTGAGCACGTAGAATCCCGTGCAATGACCCCAAGCTACCCATCCCTATCGCTCGCGCGTAATTATGTTGCTGTCGCGACTGTGCGACGGGCGCCCGCAGTGAGTGTGCGAGCGCGACAGCAACATAATTACGCGTGAGCGATAGGGGTGGGTAGCTTGGGGTCATTGCACGGGATTCTACGTGCTCACGGACCAGGCTTTAGTGTTCTAAATATCAATCTCTTCTGCCACTTCTTCTTATCACCAGCCACTAAGTCGTCCTGAAAGCTAAGTATTTGAGACGTGTATCAATGCCCTGAAAAGGGTCTATTACAGAATTTGTATTTTCTTCCATACTACTGCAACTCTTGTATACTTATTTAGAAACTAAGTACAGTTAATCAAAAGAAAAGTAGGATAGTTTGAAACTTATGGATCGACTATCCTAAGATCTTGAACCCAGCTTCATTAATCGAATAGGATGCCAACTTTACTAATGAATCTCTCGTTCTTAGCATTGATCCAAATACAAACATCGAGCAATTCCAGAAGAAAACTAAATGATCTTGAGGCTCGCAGTATCTTGAATCAGGAGTAATATGAGAAAAGCAAAAGAGATACATTTTTCTCATTCTTACCTGTTGACAGAAGAGTCCCTCGATCTCGCTCCAGTCTAGCTCGGCCTTGGGCGAGTGCTTGTGGCTGGACGCGACCAGAGACCAGATGTTGTTCTTGCCGATTACCTGCAACACATTTATTTTATTGCAACCTTCATAATAATGTTTATTTTAATATACTGGTAAGATTTCTGTTATGATTCGTGGGGAGTGCCTGGGTATAAATAGTGCAGGACAACAGTCATGAAAATCCCAGTACCAGGACGGCCAGTAGCCGCTAGATAAACAGACTGTAAATTTTTTGTTGGCAAATAAAATACTTTTACTTTTCCTTACTTTACTTAAATCTACTTAGAAAAACAAACGATACCGCGAAATAAACGAAACAGAGCGCCATCTCTTAGTCAAACTCAGAACTAATCCTAACACATTTTATATATTGGTTAATTTGTTTCATCGTTTTAGCCAAATGATATCGCTGGCTTCCCTAAGGATTTCCAAAACGACCAGTCTTTCGCTGCCCGCTTTCGTTTGAATGGAAGAAGATATTCTACAATTCAAAAAGTACGTCAGTTTTAAAAGACAGCGAAAGAGGGTAGACCGATATATCTGTCCATAACCTGTCACCGACATATCGGAAACTCAAAATTAAGGTAGGTACATGGTAGCAATCCCGTCAGTAATAATAATTATGGTAGTGACCATGCAAGTTTAACAATATACGCCAGTTAACTCACTTTGCTGTCAGGTATCTTGTTCCAATTGATGGTCTTCATCTTGGTCTTGGGCATGGGCGTCTCCTGCTGCGGCAGCGTGACGTGCGCGGGCGACGGCGCGGACGGCGGCGCGAACGGCGGCGCGGACGGCGGCGCGGGCGGCGGCGGCGGGCCCGGCGGCGGCAGCGGCGCGGGAGGCGGCGGGATCACTGAGGTCGAGAGATTGTGAAGTCTTTTTATTTACCCCCCCATTTTAAATCGATTTTGCGTGTTTAAGACCGGTTTTTCACCAAGACGACGACATTTCTGTTAGCGTACTAAAGCCCGTGGGGCAGGAAAGTTCTCGAGTGGCGACCACGGGCTGGAAAACGTAGCGTGGGCAGGCCTCCTACTAGGTGGACCGACGATCTGGTAAAGGTCGCGGGAAGAGCCTGGATGCGGGCAGCGCAGGACCGTTCATTGTGGAAAACCTTGGGGGAGGCCTTTGTCCAGCAGTGGACGTCATTTGGCTGAAACGACGACGACGACTAAAGCCCGTTCTGTGAGCACGTAGAATTTTGTCCAATGACCACAAGCTACCCATCCTTATCTCTCGCGCGTAATTATGTTACTGTCGCGACTGTGCGACGCGCGCCCGCAGTGAGTGTGCGAGCTGATGGGATGGGTAGCTTGGGGTCATTGGACAAAATTGTACGTGCTCACAGACCGGACTATAGACGCGTATTCGTCATTGTAGTCTTGGTGCAAGCAGGTGTGCACAATGACGCTTATAAGCAACCAAACGAATTTGATTACCATTTCTCGTCTCATCTTAGCTCCAGTGCAAACAAAGTAAGGAAAAGAAGAGATCCAAACAAAATAAAAAGGTGCTCACGGACCAGGCTTTAGTCCATAAAATCGTACTGTATTAAAATTTATAAATCATATTTTGGCTGTAACCTGTTTTGTATGTGTTAAATAAATAAATACACAGGAAAAGAAATTTCTCTCTGCACATCTAGTGTCGACTCCGCCCTCTAGGGACATAAAATGTTGTCCTAAAGTGGCATTAAAGCAAACACTGGCACGCGTATAATCTGAAAATGGTCTTCAGACTACAGATCTAGCGAGCTAATAAGTTGAGTCAATGCCTAAAGTTTGGGAGCGGCATGTAAGAGTAGGCGCACACCGTTGATTTTTCGTCGGCCGATAGTTTAGTCGGGCAGTTGATCAGTATGGGCATGTATGGGAGTGCGCACACTACGCCGATTCGATTTGGCCGATTCTTCACTTCATACAATTTAAAATCGGGCACAACTATCGGCCAACTAAAAATCATCGGTGTGCGCCTACTCTAAGAGTGTTATTGTGAAGCGTCAGCGAGACTCCAGATGTGCTTCAGACTTGTATGCTGTCCCAAAGTGGTGTAAGCTTAAGCAATATTTGGGACGTGTACGAGTATTTAAAAGCGCTCTGGAAAGTGCCCAAGTACTGAATAAATGATTTTATTTGCTTGGGTTACCCCTCCCGTGATATTCCATTACGTCAGACACTAGCTCAATGTCGGCCGTTTGGTGTAGTGGTTCGAAACGAACAATTATTCCGGAGGTAGCGGGTTCGATTCCCGCACAATACAAACATTTGTGTGCATGAACATATTTGTTTGTATTGGACTGGGTGTTTTCTAAGTATAATAAGTATGTATTTTTACAAAAAAAAAATTAAGTAGTTATGTTTATATCCGTTGTCTAGTACCCATAGTACAAGCTTTGCTTAGTTTGGGACTAGAAGCGCAGTGTAAAATGTAAAATGCAGCTAGACCTGTAAAGCTAATCGAAACAGTATGCAACTTACTGGGCGGCGCGGGCACCGGCGGCGGCGGCGGCGGCGACAGCGCTCGCTGCAGGCTCTGCTTGCGGCCGGCGCTCGAGATGTCCCGGTGCTGGCACGTGCAGCCCATCTTGGCCTGGAACACACGTTTTATGTTGGGAAGTTGACCAATCAGTGTCTTAGGAAGTTGACACCAATAACCAATGATTCTAATCCAAGACAGCTGGTAGGGCCCAAAAGATAAGGAGACATGTAAAGTGCCCCATAAGGGCTACCATTTCTTTTTTTATTATTTTCTATTGACGTTCATAAGTGCCACTTGTGGTCTAAACTGAATAAATATTTTTGATTTGATTTGATTTGACACAACTACTTTTAAAACACTTGAATACTGGGTTTTCAGCAAAGTCTAAGGTAAGGGGGAAAAAGCCCCGCAGTGTCTACGAGTTCTTCCAAGATTCAGTAAATCAGTACGTATGCCGTGGTGAGGAAGCTAGAACCATGAGTAGAAAGAAGGATTTGAGCAATCCCTCCTAGACGCAAGCAATTAGGTGTCATTCTCCCTGCTCTTCAGGAGGGTGGCACAGCGTCCAACACTATGTCCCGGACTCGTTGGTGCTAGAGTAAGATTGAACTTCCTTTCTCACCTGGAAACTAGGAGCTCAGGCCTCGTAGTAGCATGTTCCCCCAACTCTCTTGAAGAATACGATGGACCACCTGCTTACCTGGACACTAGGAGCCCTGAGCAGCTTGATGGCATCTTCTCTGTTCTCGCGATGTAGCGTTATAGACTATGGTCTCTGCGGTGTCCCACACTATGTCACTCCTTGGGTTTGACTCCTAGCAGATAATAGATTTTTTATTGAATCTCCTCTTTCTTTCCTTCTCACCTGGACACTGGGAGCCCTGAGCAGTTTAGCAGCATCCTCCCTGCTCTCCAGAAGGGTAGCACGATGGACCAGCGTCTCAGCAGTGTCCCATACTATGTCGCTGACAGGCTCCTTAGGGTCTATTCCCAGTAAGTGCTGGAGTAAAATTGAGCCTCCTTTCTCACCTGGACACTAGGAGCCCTGAGGAGCTTAGCAGCATCCTCCCTGCTCTCCAGAAGGGTAGCACGATGCACCAGCGTCTCAGCAGTGTCCCATACAATGTCGCTGACAGGCTCCTTAGGTTCTATTCCCAGAGAATGCTAGAGTATGAGTGGACCTCCTTTCTCACCTGGACACTGGGAGCTCTGAGGAGTTTAGCAGCATCCTCCCTGCTCTCCAGAAGGGTAGCACGATGGACCAGCGTCTCAGTAGTGTCCCACACTATGTCTGGACAGACTCCTCGGTTCTATTCCCAGCGAGCTAGAGTATGATTGAACCTCCTTTCTCACCTGGACACTAGGAGCTCTGAGGAGTTTAGCAGCATCCTCCCTGCTCTCCAGAAGGGTAGCACGATGGACCAGCGTCTCAGCAGTGTCCCATACTATGTCGCTGACAGGCTCCTTGGGTTCTATTCCCAGAGAATGCTACCGTATGATTGAACCTCCTTTCTCACCTGGACACTGGGAGCCCTGAGCAGTTTAGCAGCATCCTCCTTGCTCTCCAGAAGGGTAGCGCGAAGCACCAGCGTCTCAGCAGTGTCCCATACTATATCGCTGACCGGTTCTTTAAGGTCTGTTTCCAACGAGTGCTGAAGTATGATTGGATTTCCTTTCTCACCTGGACACTAGACGCCCTGAGGAGCTTGGAAGCATCCTCCCTGCTCTCCAGAAGGGTAGCACGATGGACCAGCGTCTCAGCAGTGTCCCCCACTATGTCTGGACAGGCTCCTTAGGGTCTATTCCCAGTAAGTGCTGGAGTAAAATTGAGCCTCTTTTCTCACCTGGACACTGGGAGCTCTGAGGAGTTTAGCAGCATCCTCCCTGCTCTCCAGAAGGGTAGCACGATGGACCAACGTCTCAGCAGTGTCCCATACTACGTCGCTGACCGGCTCCTTAGGGTCTATTCCCAGAGAATGCTAGAGTATGAGTGGACCTCCTTTCTCACCTGGACACTAGAATCCCTGAGCAGCTTGGCGGTATTTTCTCTTTCTAGAAGGGTGGCCGGGTATCCCACGCTTTGTCGCTCACGGACGCTTGGTTCGATTCCTAACAGGTGCGGGGTTGTATTATTGGACCACTGTTTCTTACCTGGACACTAGGAGCTCTGAGCAGTTTGGCAGCATCCTCCCTGCTCTCCAAAAGGGTTACGCGATGGACTAGCGTCTCAGCAGTGTCCCACACTATGTCTGGACAGACTCCTTGGTTCTATTCCCAGCGAGCTAGAGTATGATTGAACCTCTTTTCTCACCTGGACACTAGGAGCCCTGAGCAGCTTGGCAGCATCTTCCCTGCTCTCCAGAAGGGTAGCACGATGGACCAGCGTCTCAGCAGTGTCCCATACTATGTCGCTGACAGGCTCCTTAGGGTCGATTCGTAGGAGGTGCTGGAGGATGCTCAGGAATGGGATCTCTTGCGGCGTATCGGCGACCTGGTACATAAACAAAGATGGTGGTAAGAGTACAAAATGATGAGACAATATTAAGCATACAGGATGGAATTTTGAAATGCCACCTGGAGGGAAAGTACTCTTAATAATGTAGATAGATAATTTTACTCAAAGAAAACATACCTTTATTTTTTAAAAGAAATAGAACTGCATTCAAAGATTTCCAAAAATATGCTTGCCACACCCGGGAATCGAACCAAATAAAATCTGTTAAAAATTACACCCTGTATTTTTATTGCATCGATCGTTAGGGTTAAGTATAAGACTTAACCCTAACGATCGATGCAATATCTCTAACAAACTTAATAAATTAAATAAATGGAATACCATGAAATCTCAAATTATTTTAATTGTTTACAGAAAATTGTAGTTATGCTATGGTTGTAAATTTTCGAAAAAATTTCGGAAATCTTTGAATGCAGTTCTCTTTCTTTTCAAAAATGAAGGAATGTTTTCTTTGAGTAAAATTTTCTATCTACAGTATTAAGAGTACTTTCCCTCCAGGTGGCATTACAAAATTCCACCCTGTATAATACATTAGTAATGCCACCTGCTTTTAACATTGATGATGACGTGCGTTGACTCATATTTTCAATCGACGTAATGAATAGATTAAGTTTACGTAGGTACGTTATGATACACACGTTTGAAAATGTAAAATGTAATAACCCCTTTCCTTTTGCATAGGAGTTGCCTTTATTGTTACAAAAAGTACCAATTAGTCGTAATCGTAACCGCGAATTTCTATAACCCTAAGGTCAGGGCATAAGTGAATAGGCATCTTCTCTGCATGTTCGTTCAACCATAGATCACCACCACCATTTTGCGACAACATATGGGTTCTTTCCTTCTTCATCAAAACCAACCACTTCTGGTGGAAGAAACTCAGTCACCAAGAGGAAGCTACATTACAAAAACTGCCACCATTAATATCTAAAAACACTCACCTGTTTAAGTATGGCGTAGAACACATCTAAGTGGGAGTTCAGGTTGATTCCTCCAGGACCCTGGGCCTCGTCGCTCTCCCGCTGCTCCTCGAACACGTCGAGCTGCACGCCCAGGTCTGGGTGGCTGACGGCTTCATGTCTGGAATAATGATCCAGGCTTAGAAATGTTGAAGAAGTCGCTGATGTTAAGGGAATCGTGGGAACTTGCCAATGTTCAAGTCAAAAGGAGAAGACGTGTTCTGACAAAGGGTAGGTAATGTGATGTCGATTGACACCTCATCATTAGTCTATAACAGTACACTGGTGGAGATAGGTCTCCCTAAAACGCGCTATTACATCCTGCCTTCCATTTGTCACTACAGCCAGAGTACTACAACTTCTTCATGCGACTTTTCGTCGTCACTCCACTTATTGGTAAATTCTACACTACGCTAAAGTAGGATTGACTTCAAGGTGAAATACCGAAATACATAGATAGTTGCTTGATGCTTATCGTGGATGCTTATTTGCAATCATGTCATTGTGATCGTCATCAGAATCATTAAAAACCATGTATGAAGAAGCACTATAAGTTACATTACACCTTTAGGTAAAAAGTGTAATCTAGAGAAAACAGTTTTTTTTTATAATCCAATACTCAGTTTATGAATTTACTCGTACGCACTACATCAAATTTTTTCGGTATCTAATTAAAATGACAGAAAAAAAAACTGTTTGATTCCTCGTTTATGTTTATAATTACAACATCAAAACAAACACTTCTCAGTTATCACACACTTCACGATTCACTTGAACTAAGTGATCACTTAAGATTAAGATAAATAACTACAAAGGAAACTTGTAATTACCGGTAATCTACTTTTTGCCTCAGGTCCGAGGCGACCATCCTACTCGATGGCAGTACGCATATTATGTACTATCTCTATCACTTATTGATAAGATCAGCCTAATCAAAAGCTATTAAAAACATAACGCAATAGCAAAATCTAAAAATAAGCAAGGTCCTGATAAAGGAATTCAATTGAAGTCTATTTTGTTTTTGTGAGTCAGGGGACTGAGTGAGTAACTGTTACTCAGATGGACTGACTGGTGGGTATTTTTCATATTTGGTTTAGTTATTTTGTTATCGTGATAAACTAAAAAAGACGACGACTTCCTGATTCCAAGGTGCTTTTCAAGTTTAGCAATAGCAATATTTGGTTTTAAGATATGCTCTGAAAAGAGTCTAGATAACATATTGTTACCTGTATGAGTACCAAAAAATAATTCTTTGGTAGCCACGTAAGTCCTTTATCACCATAAACAACATATTTTTTGACAAATTATATCGACATCATAAAAACCGTCATAGTTGTTTATCCATCGAATAAAACGCAATATTTCTCGTTTATTACCAAAACAATTCTCCAAAAAGGTATCACTCGAGGGCCAAAATAACACCTTAGTTTGTTACATTTAAAGTTCCACCAAAATAAAAGTAAAACGTCAGGCTTAAAACCATTCCCCAAAGAAGGTAGGTATCACTCGAGGGCCAAGGGGCACCTTAGTTTGTTACATTTAAAGTTCCACCAAAATAAAAGTAAAACGTCAGGCTTAAAACCATTCCCCAAAGAAGGTAGGTATCACTCGAGGGCCAAGGGGCACCTTAGTTTGTTACATTTAAAGTTCCACCAAAATAAAAGTAAAACGTCAGGCTTAAAACCATTCCCCAAAGAAGGTAGGTATCACTCGAGGGCCAAGGGGCACCTTAGTTTGTTACATTTAAAGTTCCACCAAAATAAAAGTAAAACGTCAGGCTTAAAACCATTCCCCAAAGAAGGTAGGTATCACTCGAGGGCCAAGGGGCACCTTAGTTTGTTACATTTAAAGTTCCACCAAAATAAAAGTAAAACGTCAGGCTTAAAACCATTCCCCAAAGAAGGTAGGTATCACTCGAGGGCCAAGGGGCACCTTAGTTTGTTACATTTAAAGTTCCACCAAAATAAAAGTAAAACGTCAGGCTTAAAACCATTCCCCAAAGAAGGTAGGTATCACTCGAGGGCCAAGGGGCACCTTAGTTTGTTACATTTAAAGTTCCACCAAAATAAAAGTAAAACGTCAGGCTTAAAACCATTCCCCAAAGAAGGTAGGTATCACTCGAGGGCCAAGGGGCACCTTAGTTTGTTACATTTAAAGTTCCACCAAAATAAAAGTAAAACGTCAGGCTTAAAACCATTCCCCAAAGAAGGTAGGTATCACTCGAGGGCCAAGGGGCACCTTAGTTTGTTACATTTAAAGTTCCACCAAAATAAAAGTAAAACGTCAGGCTTAAAACCATTCCCCAAAGAAGGTAGGTATCACTCGAGGGCCAAGGGGCACCTTAGTTTGTTACATTTAAAGTTCCACCAAAATAAAAGTAAAACCTCAGGTTTGGCTCACTTCGAACAAGAGCAACGGCAGGTATTATTCACCGGCCCGACTGGCCCATATTTGGATGCGCCCACGCACGCCTTTTGCGGCGGCTGCTATTACGGCCGTAGGGTAACTAACACGTTGTTAGAGATATTGTAAGCTGGATAAAGTAGTCTTTTACAAAATTAAACGACCATAAACAGATAGGGTAGTCTTTTTTTGGTGTACTGAAATTTATTCTGCCTGTGCCCAGTTTAGACTTGTAAACTTCCAGGAATCGCAAACAAAAAAAAGATTTTTGAATTAACTATGTTCATCTGTAGCCTAACGGCTTAGTTGGGTTTACGAACCAAATTATTATTGCTATTGTTTTTTATTTACCAGACCTATCAAATACCTCAAATAATTCAGTTTTGAAACGTTTAATGGTAGCTTAAGAAATCTTCTACTCAAACTCAAATTTAACAATTTATTATTTCATAGAGTCGACTAAATACCTCACAAATATAGCTTTTCTTATACATAACTACTTAACACATCAGTTATGGCATTAAGCTCTGCTTTTGCTTTATTAAAATTATAATAAAAACAAGTTTTTATTACTACGGTGACAACCCTAGCTAGCCTCCGATCAAAGGCCTTTAATTTGGTCGAAACCTGATTGCAGGGTATAAGTACTACTTAATTAGAGACATAATGACATTCTAAGTATGGACACGTAAGTAACTTTAAACTCGAGTTTTCATTGTTCGTTCAACTACTGTTACAGTAGGCGCACACCGTTGATTTTTCGTCGGCCGATAGTTTAGTCGGGCAGTTGATCAGTATGGGCATGTATGGGAGTGCGCACACTACGCCGATTCGATTTGGCCGATTCTTCATACAATTTAAAATCGCGCACAACTATCGGCCACCTAAAAATCAACGGTGTGCGCCTACTCTTACAGTTTGCGGTTAAATTGCTGGTTGTTTCGTTGATAAACACTTTAATAGGTTATTTTGGTAATTTTACACTCATATTAAGCTAAATAAACACTTTAACATCAAAATTAAATGTTAGTTGTAACTAATCGTTATTTTTGCACGGTTTTCGTTAAGATTTTAGCGCAATCTGAAGTTGAACCCTAAGTTTAGGTTAGAATCAATGTGCATTAGTTAACCATATTATGCTAGTGCATATTTTTTAATCAAAAAAGTTATTCTTGTGTACCTACAAAATATAAAGAAAATTCATGACTGTATTCTTTTTAAACTCTATTTTTATAGCTTAATACCTACCTATTTCTTTGTAACTAAAAAGTAATAAATAAATGTAAATGTTAATCCTATACCACATTTGAGAATACGTTAGTAACAGCTAAATCTATTAATAAACAGTTCCAGAAACCACGACTGTTTTTGCATGACTGGTACGAGCATCGAACCAAAAACAGGTTGATTTGAATATTGTGGCGCTATTCTGTAAGGCGATAGAGAATGTCGTATTCTGAAACCAGTTGCTAAACTGAACTATAATCAAAGAAGAGCTGAAAGAATTCATTAATTGTAGGTATAAAATAAAGTAGCCTTGATCATCCCTTACCACCACCAGGTTAGATGCGGGCCAAGAACATTGAATCAAGTTTTTTTTAATTATTAGTCATTTGTTTTGCACAAATTCCCGTTAACCCCTCGTTGTAGTTATTGAATTGAAAATTGCCAACCGTCCATTGCTCGCGAACAAAATATAGCTCAAGTTCGTTCGCAGACGTTCGCCGATCTACGTAATATTAAGCTTTTCGTTCGCGGTACGATGTGCGTGTGTAGACAAATTGATTCAAGCCTATTTGGTTAAATTTTAATACAACTTAATAACACCAGTAATACATTTGTTTTTGATGTTGTATGGCCATTCTGAATTAGAAATCGTATTCGGAATACACCCCCAGACCGGTATTCATTAATCACTTCTCCAAAAGCAATTTGTTCGCGCCAGTGTCACTACTGGCTTACGAAACAGGTACGATACTAGAGCTAATGGCGCTAAACGGAGTTAGTTTAAGGAAAATATCGGAACTGGTCATTTCGTGTTTAAATTGAACAGATAACGTGTCAAAAAAGTTTTTGCTAAGATCAGGCGGGTTCGATTGTGGTGGGAAAAACACTAAGGTGAAAATCACTTCGAGCCCACTATTTTTTTTCAGGTACCGTTGACGCGCGTTTTCCGAAAGTTTTCTTTTCGGGTACACAGCGAATGCGCGTATACGTCGCCAGAAAAAAACGCGGTGTGCACGGGCCCTTAGGGTGTTTGTTCCAAAATGTTTCTTTTCGCTTCAGAGCACAATTGAGTCCTTTAAATAAGATTTGAAGTTCATAAAATCTAAGATAGAGAGATAGAGCTTATGGATTGTGACTTTTTTAAGTTGTCTCAGGACACACGATACAAGAAGAAAATACCATGCGTCATCATACCATCATCATGAGAGTGTACAAAACCATTACTTTTAGATCTTAAAACACTATGTACCTACAAAGAACTATTAACGTAGGTTGACTAAGTTTTATCAGCTGAAAACGACAATTAAAAGCTTCAAAATGACTCAGTTAACGTATTTAGTTTAATTTTTTAGCTAATCTAAATCGTTTCATGCTGCTAACACATAAAATTGTTTTTGCCTCACTATATGCTTATCAAATTACCGTGACCGTCCGTCCGAATCTAACAAAAACTGACGGCAAAAAACTTAAACTCACAAAAAAAGATAATAAAATCGATTCAACGGCTTTTTTATTGCCATTGTAAATTTTATTGACAGATTTTGTCTATAGTCAAACTATAGAATGAACAGTAGATCCGCTAAGAGATAAATAGTGTTAAAAGAGTAAAATAAACAGTAGTAGTAAATAGGTAAAAGTACAAAATTATATCCTACAGAATATTTATTTCATCGCAGAACGCTAAAATCTAAACTACATATAAACCACAAATCAATTCATTAATAAAATACAGGATTAACCAGTAAATATTTGATTTAAATAATTATGTTAATGTGTTAAGATTTGGAAGTTAATTATGATGACAAATTATTTTATCAGATTAAAAATTGGCATTGATTTTAAAAGTTAGTAAACACACTGGTTTTCCTTAAATTATAATAGTTACATTAGAATTTTAATCTTACCTTAAGTTGTTGAGTGTTGGGAGAAGTCCAAGACCTGAAAAACGAGATTAATCAATAAAACAAATAGTTTTAAACCTAAAGCTTACATTTAAAATGTGCTAAACTAAACAGGCCACTTATAAATTAAAATTTATTAGAAGAGCGACGACCGATCGAAGGTTATGGCGGTTGGATCTAGACTTATCGATAAAAAGTTCGTTATTATGTTAACGAGTGTCGCACAAAGACTCCGGTTATGTAACGTTGAATGATTGGGAGAATACAAAATGGTAATAGCATTCGGTTGTTCTAAGAATGTTCCTAATCTTTAGAGTTTGGGAATTAGTCATATTTGAAAACTTTGATAGAACGCCTGAAATGGTGGTTTGAGTACTGAAATGTACATCAACTGCGGTTGTGAGATCGATTCCCTATGGAGACAAAAGGATTTATTTGTATTATTACATAATGTTTTCGTTGTGATTTACCTGCAATGAGTAAACATAAGGATCATAGAGTGTTGACCCTGAGCATCTACGCCCAAGTCACGGATGATTGTCATCATCATCATCGGGTCATCTAGTCCATTTCAGGAGGCAAAAGACTAGCCGAGGCAAAATGAAGATATGTCCTACGTTGGCCAGAGGCTTGATGTTCCCCGTATTCTCCCTTAGTCACCTCCTACGAAATCTACAGGAAGAGTGAGGGTTGTAGTCCACCGTGGCCGCATTCTTCGATCACAGAGGAACTAGCTATCTTACATCTAACTGCTGGTTTCAACAGTGCTTACTTACCAATGAATTCATTCCTGACCCTGATGCGATCAGGCAGCCTTGGAGCTGAGATGATGATGCAGTTGATGAAGGCCACGAGCGCGGTCTTGTAGTCCACCGTAGTTGCAATCCTCAACCACAGAGGAACTGGCTATCCTACGTCTAACTGCCGGAACAAAGCAATGCTTACTTACCAATGAACTCATTCCTGACCCTGATCCTGTCAGGCAGCCTTGGAGCTGAGATGATGATGCAGTTGATGAAGGCCACGAGCGCGGTCTTGTAGTCCACCGTGGCCGCATTCTTCAGCTCCTCCACCACCACGTTCAGGCGGTAGCGCTCGCCTTTTATGGTCTGGAAGTTTAAAATGGAAATCACTAGAAGGACAGCACTTTTCCTGGAATTTCCTGGAAGCATCTCAATACTTATGAAAAAATCTCTCTATCTATGATCGCCATACAGGCATACAGGACTGTAGCCATCGGGCTACAGTCCGATACGTGAGTATGAAATGAGTAGAGTTACTTTAGTAACTTAGTCATTGCAAGTGTGACTAACTCATAGGGCATCCAGATTTGACCCTAAACAAAGTGCTTGCTTGAAAGCTTGTAACGTCTGAAAAGAGTATTATTTTCATATTTCTAAGATTTCATATTTAAGATTACGCTTTAAGAATTTGATTGTGAATTAAATTTTCCCGCTGAAAGCGCATTCAAAACTCAACTTACTTAAAAAACCGATTAGGTAAGCCGATTTTCTATTATTAGAACCATTTTCACAATGGATCATGTTCATTCATCATCAGAAGCTTATAATCATCATTCTAGGAAAATGCCCCAGCTCAGCGTCAAACCACAAAAGCCTTCTGAGTTGGCAACACTAATTCTAAAGGTGCGGGCCCGTGGGCGGCGCCATGACTGACGACTCCATACACTGTCCGATCATTGATATGCCTTGATTTATTGACGGCTATCACGCTTATGCTTAAATGGTAAAAAACAAAGAAACAAGGTTTCAACTGACGGCTACACACAATTTGTGGCCTCCTTGATGGTTGCGGAAATGGACTTCTAAACACAGAGGCCTGGGGTTGATTCATAAATAGATAAATAAAAAAAAACATTCAGCCCTACTCAATCGTAATTTTCTTTGTTTTCAATTTCTTGCATTGTAATCAGACCGTATGTTGTATTCCACCTGAGAATGGAAGACATTGAATTGGTAGAATCAAAATCTTTTACCAATTGACCACGAAGACGTAATAAATTGGAACCTATTGTTAAAAGATGTTTGAAGGTTAGGATTTTTGTATAAGAAGTATGTACCTTGTACCGATCGAGGGTGTCCACAGCCCGAGCATATCCGTCCGCATTGTAAACACATAATGCTGACAGCAACTCGAAGACCTGCAACAAAACAGACAGCTTCAAAATTGGAAAAAAATGCGATGTTTAGGAGCAGACGTCGCTACATTAACATAATGGTACCTACTCCAGTTTTATTACAGTCATGCTTACTAAACTAACTACGAAACAAGATTACAGTGGATGTGAAGATGTATCAAGTGTATTCAAACAGAAATTTTGCAATTGGAGTGCATTTGAAATGAAGCCCGTCCGATCTATCCTAGAGCTTTGATTACCTTCCTGATCTGATGACTGTTCGCATCACAAAATTTTGACGCTGATCGTGTTATAATAACAGTTACAAAATTGTTACTTGACAAGGCAGATAGCTTTCCTAAGGGATCGTTGCCTGCTAAAGTTACAATTTACGATATCTAATATCTCATAAAGGGAGCAGGAAGACGCTGAATGCAGGCCGCTACCAACCGGGCGATGTGGAAATCATTGGGGGAGGCCTATATTCAGCATTTGACGTCATGTGGCTAAAATGATGATGATGAACCCGTCGTACCTGCTTCTTGACCGGCGCGGCGGGCGAGGTGAGCGCGGCGGCGAGCTTGCCGGCATACTCCGCGTGCTCCACTATGTAGTCCAGGCCCACCCGGCTCTCCATGGCTCTGTGGACAACATAACAACATTAAATACACATTCAAAATATTTGCCAAACGGGACTATTCCCACCTCTCGTTCCCACCGCTGCAACTCCTGTGTAGCCAGGATCTACAGCTTGACCACCAATAAAAACCCAACCAGTGAAGGTCATGTCAATAATTTGCCAGTATGTAGCCTCTTCAGGAACATCCTTTCCAGGACACTTGCCCTTTTCAGGACAATTCAAGTCTTCATTTCATACTATGGTAGTTCACTGCACGTGATCTTCTCCTAAGGTTAGCCAGGAATTCCCGTTTTTATTATCCATCAAGATGAAGACGTCTTACGAATTTTTTTCAATCCACAACGAGGAAGCTCTTGGCCCACATCTCACCTGATGGAAAAAGAGTCCCGGCCCCAGTGGGAAACGACCCGAAACTTATAGGTCTGAGGCAGGTGATATGACTACTAGACCACAGAGATGGGTTATTTAAACTGAGCTGAGCTGAGGTCTATCATTCGCGATCCATCAATTTACTAGACCTTTAATTTCTCCAACTAATGAGATAACTTGAGCTTGCTATATTTTTGGAAAAAAAGCTCACTAAAAACTAATACATTACTTTTGGCGTAGTTTGATGAAACTTTATGTCCCAAAATCCAAGCAAGGAAAGCCGCTAGTTAGCCATAAAAGTCAGACTTTAGACATCGCGTGTTGTCTAAGTACCTATTCGCCATGCTCATCAAGGCATTTGAATATTGAATAACGGAGGAAATCACGTGAGAACACAACATTATGTCATACTAAATTCCTAGCCTCGATCACTAAATTGGCGTCGATGTTTTTGCTGCTCACGAGCAAGTTTTTCGATCTAAAAGGACAGGTCTAAAAACATTAGGATTTGACTTTATAATTAAAACCAAAGTAATTAATATGCACGAACACGTGTCGCTAACGACGCATTTGTAAACTAAGTTGCTATAATTTTAATGGAATAAAGTCATTAAAGGAAGTAAATTATCATAAATAATATTTTTTGTGGTCAAAGGATATACCTAGTCAAATAGTGGGATAAGTAGGTAGTTATTATCGATTATTTATGATGTAACACTGATTTATATTGGTTCTAATTAAAAGTGTCTAGCTATTGATTAATAGGATTACAAGTATTATGATCCAATTCGAGTTTTTGATTACGAATTTGTTCTTATTATCATCTTCCAATAACCCTCAAGTTTCATAGTCTCGGGGAATATACCTACACTATAATAATAATACGTCGCTGAAGTTAGTCGATAGTAAGTAGGTACTTTTCAGTGAGGAAGGATAATAAAGTTAGTCATAAAATAAAATAAAAACAAAATATACCTTCATATTTTCTGCAAATAGGTTTTAAGGCGATTAGAGTCCTCAATCCGCGTCAAATGGGCATTTTGTAAAGCCTACTCCTCTTTTACTGCTGGATAGAAATAGTTGAAAAAAATATATGCTATACAACAGTTCAAGGACTACATTTGTGACGTTTGAATTTTCGCTACGTCTCTTTGTTTTGGATTAAAAAAATAAATACGGGACATCGATTTTTTACTTAAATTCCCTACTCCTCCAAAACGGCTATGTTAATTTAAAAGATTTTTGCACGAATAGATTAGGAATTCTTTAATCTTTAAATGACACGTTGCGTTTTTCAATCGAACATTACTTTCATTCATAAATTTTACTTTTGATAAATTCCGAACGTTTTGCTGTTGAGGGGGCCTTCGCGGGGTGCGGGCGGCAGTCGGCCGCTGGCCTTCAGACGGGGAGGTTGTGTCACTCGCTGCAAACTGACATTAGCGATCAAAATGAATTTTTTCTTTGGCTTTTATCCCGTACAAAATGTTCATGGATTTTGTTATTTTTATTAAATACCTTTACGCCTGAGTTAAATGACACCGACATCAAGGTTCATCAATTTAAGTTTAAAATAATAGGCAGTAATGTATGAAGAAAGAGCTTCTATTCTGTATCTACCTATGCCCGTGTATTTTTGATCGGTGTCAAATCGGAGTTTTTGGTGCGGGGTACGCGGGTGTTGCTCGCGGCGTGAAGGTCAAACGCCCAAGGTCATTGAGGACTCTAATCGCCTTAAAGAGCGCTTTTTAGTGTTTTCAGTGGTTAAAGTAGTTACTTAGCAAACAAATTAAATATTATTTTGCACCCACTTCAAGGTTTCAAAAATAAAGCAATTTTAACTCTTTCCGTTAATCCTTATGATAAAAATATCGTAAATATTTTTTATGGTACAGTTACCATAAATTGACCATAATAGTTCCGTCAGAAATCATAGCATTTAACGGTTTGAATATATCACCAATAAATGAAGAATAATTAGCGACTGGTTTTCTGCGCGCGCGCCGTTTGGCCAACTTTATGGGTTCTTCGTCCTAATTCGGGTTTTAAGAATTAAGGTTCGCGAACCTCTTATACCTGTATTCGATTTAGTTTTGTAATAAGATAGGTTTTATACTAATAATACATTTATCTACTGCAGCTATCACACTAAGTCCAGATCTAAGTAGAGCTTAAGTATCTTATAAGGATAAAATAAGATAATATTACATAAATGGATAAATATTTAAAAAACAAAGTACATACCTACCTACATCCATTGTAACCTAATACTTTTTTAGCTAAGTATTGAGCTATGATTGGAGCTATAACTATAAGTCTTGTTGGATTTTAGGAATAAAGAAAGATTGAACCATGAAATAAAATGAAAGTTTGCATATTGAATCAATTATTTCCTAAGTTATAAAAAAATACAACTTTCAACGTTTGTGTACGGAGGATGCGCATGCGAAAACTGTAGCATCTCACTAAAATTTATCCCTCACAGGATTCGAACTCTCAACTGTAACTGGTATCGTCCGATATGTATACCACTAGGCCAGGTAGCCATTTAAAATGCATCACCACTCCATGCATACCCTCATCAGATGCACGTCAATCCCCAACCTCCATGTATGGGCACGGATCCGTCACTGCATTCATTCAATATGGCCGACTTCGAAATATCTTCACACCCCATCGATCTGTCGGTTCCAAATATATTTCATTTACTTTGGGCGTGACTAATGAGATTTAAAAAAATCTAATTTAATGTTTAATACCTTACTACTTTTCACACTGATTTAATTTGTTTTTAATTAAATCAGTTGAAAAGTTTTAAAGCTAACACATGGGTTGTCCGCTAATAATTTCAAAACTTTAATACACATAGTATAGGTTCCTGTTGCAAAAAAATCGTTTAAAAATAGCTATGATCTATATTATGTTGGTTAGGAGATTACCAGCTTAAATCATTGGTTGTTAATTTGAAAACTACTAAAAATTTGGCAAAAAGAAAAAGAAAATTGATACAATGACATATTTATAATTATTATTAGCATTGATCCAAATACTACTTAATAGCATTAAGGATCAAGGAAGAAATATTTATTTTAAGGAAGTAATGCACTTGACCAATCGAGAACAAAAGATATCACAATAACCTTTATCTCATCAAATGCAGACTGACGTCACCAGTCGTTTCCCAGTCAAACCGCATTAGGAACGGTCCAGTAATTTAACCGCTGTTTACAGCAGTTACTGTCGCTTTGAATTAGCGGTACGAGCGAATTGGTTCAATAACAACATTCTCTTACTAAAGTTATTGTTATATGTAAAATTGTAGACTGTAAAATGAGTAATGTATTCTTGTAGCGGTTTAACCAGTAACCAGATTCCTGTTAGGAAACTAACAAACGCATTTTTTTTCCTATAAACATTAATTGACTATTATAAATGCTCTACATTTTTCGTTTAAAAATTCATCATCATCGTTTCAGCCATAGGACGTCCACTGTTGAACATAGGCCTCCCCCAATGATTTCCACCTTGTGGGTGGACGTCCTATTATTTAACTTTAAACAGATTCAGTTCTGAATCATCCCAACTTTCTTATTAAACACAATAACGTCCGTAGAAATTGGCATTTACCCTATAGATCGGTTTCCTTTTGTCATAACAATACAGAAAAACAAATAAAGTTAGTATCGAATGATTTCAAGCCATACTTAGTGAGTAAACGTTGAGTAACTAAATTGTGTCAGACTATTTTGATAGGGGAATGAGAACTTTATGAATATGGAAATAAGGAAATGAAGATAATAATGATTGTCTAGACGTAAATTGTAAAACAATGCAGTCACGCGGTTGGATTCCTAAATTCCTGTTTGAGTAAAGACGGGGTTTTATTGCAAGCAAAGAAGTTATTTTGGTTTAAAGCAATTGCATTGAAGCTTATATTATGCGGAAGTTTTTATTTGTACCTAATCATCATCAGTTGCGTACATACGAAATAGTGAAAACATTCACTTACGATACCAGTAAAAAATAACAAATTCCTCTATGTTAGTCCGTTATTTCGTTTTATATTTCGCTACTGGTTCTATTATTGTACATTGAACAGGGTACAAGGTACAAAAGGCGAACTTAATCCTTTGCCATTTCTTGTAGTCAGCCTTTGGGCCAAGCAGAAATTACAGTTTACAGTAGAGTTAAGTGACGTATCAGTTTCATTTGATGACTTTTTTCAGCGATTAAAATATTTCTCTAATTAATATTTTGTGTCAACATCCGCGTCGCTCCCAGTCAAGCCGCGGCCGAACCGGGCGTCCTTACGGCGCTAATCCGCTGCGCTTGCGCAGACGATTAGCGGATCCGTTGCGCAAAAGTAGTAAACGACCTTCCTTCGGCGCCTTGACTTTGATTTTGAAACAAAACGTGGACGCATTGTTTTAGACAGCTTTGGGAGATAGTAAACCAGTTAGGCGACTCTAATAATCTAGTCATTTGGATGGATAGGCTTGATAAGTTTCGAATAAAGTTTTGATAAGATAACCTAAAATAAGATAAGATAAAGCTGGATGCAGGTCATGCAGGCCGCTACCAACCGTGAGATGTGGAAGTCATTCGGGGAGGCCTATGTTCAGCAGTGGATTC